AGTCTCTCTTTCTTTTGTTTTCTCCCTGTCTGGGAGTTATTGCAGTGCAAATGGTTCAGTCTTTTGAAATTACTTCTGTTGTTGTTTTATAATTACTTAAAAACTTATATTGCAAACTTCGTTCAGTGTTCACGTCTGATTAAACTCTAAAAGAATGACCTAAATATTGGCAGCAGTAAGAAATGGGTGATGGACAGACTGAAGACCACTTAAGTATTTTGAATGCAGCCAGGTAACTGTTCACTAGACTGCAGGATGAATATCTGGGGAGAAGGGAGTGAGGGGAAAGTAATACACTAAGCATATATGACAAACAAAAGTCTTAAATCAATCTTTAGTATTTAATTACTATTACAATAACTTTATTTCAAGATGTGCAAGCCCCTTTTCAGAGATTGAATTGTCTTGCATTCACTGTAACAAAGCTTAATGATTGACCAACATATCCATAATTAACTTTTATTTAAATAGCTTTCTTAAACCATCATTGATAAATTCTTTTTAGAGAACAACATCCTGTAATTCTTTGTAATTCCCCAGAAAGCAATGGATAAATAACTTCTGTTGATCTGTTTGCCATCTGGGGTGTGACGGGTACGGGAGAAACCAGAAAGGTGGGGTTTAGTTTTAGTAAAAACAAATTCTTATGGTTTGTGTCTATACATATATAGAAAAATAGATATAAACTCTGCATTGACATACATAATATTAAATCACAACAATGACTTTCAAACTTTGACACTAAAGTCATTTAAAATATATTATTTTTATGTATATTCCAGTTCTGCCCTTTATTGTCTATGATGGAAATGGGTATCATGAAATAGCATTGGGTATAAGTGCTAGCCAGGCTGTACAAGATAGGTAATGCCACCTGGTTTTTATATACTCAATTTTTAAAATTGTTAGCTGAACTGCCATTGCTCCTTTATTGAAAAAGGTACTTCTCCTGTGTTTTCCTGTCTTTCCTGTTTTCCTTTGAGCTTTTTAGAATGTATTGTATTTTCTTGGCCATGGGGGTTGTTTTTTGCTATGGAAATAACTAAAGATGGCTGTGTTTTCTATCTAATTTTTGTGTCTTCTCCCCTGGTACAAAGAAAACAGATGGCCTTTCTTGCTTTCACAAAAGCAAGTGCTGTACGAAAAACCCCAGGTATTTTGCAGACAGTACAGAATCTTCTCTGGTACTCTGCAGTAATTTTTATTTTTTTTAACAACTTACTGAACAAAGAAACCCGGATCCTGGTGTGGTATCAAGTCCCAGCAGTAGTCTTGTGATAGAAATCATGTAATCTTTCACAAATGACTGCAAGAGTTTTAACAGGAGAGATGGAAAAGAAAGAAAAAAGCTTTAATTAACAGATGAACAGGTAACCGTTAGCACCATGTGTGAATTTCAGAGAAATTGTACATCTGTGTTTACAATCAATCTCTATCTTTTAAGTAGACAAAGCGATGTTAAGTTTGTACAAAGTACTGTAGAAATAGTTATCCCTTACTTAGTGCTGAATATACTTACATAAAATAAGTTTTCTTATTTGGTCCTGCATATGTATGCAATGTACATACAGGACTCAAAGAGACTAATGCATAATAAGGCACCATGAAAGCGAAGGTAGATGTAAGATTAGTGGAAGTAAGGGTTTAGCCTTATTAGGTGTCAAATTATAATAATTAACTCTTCTGTGCAAAAGAAATGCTGTTGTATGTTAGATGGGTCTGCAGTACTGAGTATCGGGTAATACTGAGGTGAGACTGCTTCTATTTTAACTCAAACGAGTCATTTGCCTTTGCCTTTTTTTTTTTTTTTTTTTTTTTTAAGGGTTGATCTGCCTTATCTCAGGTCAGGCTTGTTGCTCTGCTAACAGAAGTGTTTTGCTGATTGGTTAAAAGATAGCAATTAAACTAAATGCAGAACTGTAGGCTAAGACTGGGGACAGACAGTGGTTCAGCTAAAATCACAGATATTTCTTCTCCTTATGACTTGGGCTGCTGGAATCAGAGGGCCATGTAAGTGCTCTAACTCTAGTAGATCTGTAGGATCACTGCCACCCTAGATGTAGCAAGGCAGCATTCGAGGCAGGCTGTCATTCCTTGTTAGAACATAATTTGCAATTAGCTCTTTTGGCTTAATGTGGATATGGAGCTAGCAAATAGGTTTTAATATAGAAATACCTTACAAAGGTGTTAGAAAAAGCCTTTAGAATTATAGCATCTGAATTTGTTTAAACTTAGGAGCTAGACAGATTTAGTTTGATACATAGTGAATCAACTATTTTAATTTTTGTACTACTAGTAATCTTCCAGTTGTGATGGGGTAAATGCCAATAAGCATCTTCTTGAAAACAAGATTTTTTGTAACCTTCACTTATTTGTTATCTGTCTTGGCTGCATCACTTACGCTATGGAATTATTATTACCAAGTATATTTACAAGAATTTGCTAGAGCAATTTTTCATTTCTTCAGTCAGTGTCCTGAAGATAATTTGAAAGCTTTTCTTTTGGCCAGAATAGAAGCACTAGATGAACTTTGCTGTTTCCCATGTCATTTACTCTGTTTCTTGCAGAAGAAATGGATGGGACCATGAAGAAGAACAGAGAGAACTTGCTGTCATAGTATTTGTAACTTGGAATAAGAAAAATAAGTTTAGATAACCCCTGAGCAGTAGGAGTTCAAAGAAAGAATGGGTGAAATCTGAGAGAGAATGAGTGTCTTGTTCTTTGTGTTTGGTGGGGATTTTTTTGTTTTCAACACTTCCTGGTGAATGGTTTTACTCAGTCAAGTCATAGCATGACCGATCGTGTCTAGGAGCGTATATAAAACATTGAAGTTACACAAATGCTGGCTGGAGTTGTTGATGGTGACAGATCCATTTCTATATAGGTGTCTTAATCTAATTTTTAAAAAAATGTTGCTATGTGTGATGTCGATATTCTGGGACATGATTAAAAAATGCATTTATAAACAAATACATTTAGTTCTGAAACATCTAAAATTTGATAAATGGTTTTACATCTGTTGGCTTATCTGCTCTTGGTACTTGTCCATATACATGACTGGTTTATATATTAATGGATTTTCTCAAAAGCTTAGTTCCAGGAACTTTTCTATTCACATTGAATTTGCCTTCAGGGAATTTATTCAGAAGTGGAATTAAGATGAAAGAAACCTTTCATGCACCAAATGACCAAGTAAACTAATTTCCCTGAAAAAATGTTTTAGCACCTAAATATGAAAGCATCCACAGGCTACCTCTAGGTATAGGCAAAGTAGATAGCCACTTAGGTGAGCAGGCTACATGGGCCATGGTGGTGTTGCTGCTTATTCTGCGTACCTTGATACTTGAAGGCTAGAGCTGGCAGCTGCTGCTCAGGCATCCTGATGTGCAGAAAGGTAGTCACTGTCGAGCAGTGAGGCCAATATTCTCTCTTTCCACCCTGAAACCAGCTGCTACCTTCATTTGTCATGATCCTGTATTTTCTTCCAATTGTTTCTTCAACTGTCTGACGCTGCTTCTCTTGCCTTATCAATACTGGCTGTCATCACTTCTTTTTGCATGAGGAGCCCTGTCCTGGATTCTTGGGCAACAGGGTTCTTCCCGCCACTGTCTCTTTGTAACCACTGCATATATTTCTTGTTAGGGCCAGAATGGGTCACTTAAGGTACAGTGACTCATCTGGCAGTCTACTTGTCACAGGTAAGAGGACAGGACACAGTGCAGATGCAGATGACTGACAAACTACTCATAAAAGTAATTCTGTTGATTTCTGTGGTTAGAGACATTACTGTGCGGGGATGGGCACTGCCTTTTTGTTGCAGAGTACAAGAGTTATCAGTCTGTATAATCTATTTTATGTAGGTCTTGTCAAAACCATCCTGCTTAGTTGACTGTGGAGAGGTTCACAAACAATATTATATTGTTTAGCAGAATGGAACTTGCACAAGGACAGGGTGATTTGGGAGTTCGTCACTGAGCTAGTACTCTCAGTGGAACATGCTTGATGGTATTTTGCCTTTGATTATTGCCAGCACAGACATGCACATTAATGGCTTACACGTAGGAAAACAAGGTAATACAACAGTTAAGTGTAATAAAATAGGTGGTAACACTACATGTCTGTGTTAAGACAAGTCCCATTATTGTTCATAGTACCTGATAAAGCAGCGTGTCCAGCATACTGATGCTGAAAACTCTGCCAGCAGCGAAGGGCAGTCGAAACATAAATGCCAGATTAGATCCCTTCTCACGTTCTTTCTGTTAAGAAATTAAAAAAATAGAAAACACTTCTAGTGCTGGTTTTGGAAGGACAATAATAAAAGCATCAAATTGATATTACCTTGAAAGAGGCCAAAGGTGTAAAATCCCTTTACTCTGAATATAGTTTCTTTCTAAAACATGTAGCATCTTTGCTCAGTACTTACAGTTTTTCAGGTTGAAAGATTTTGTTTAATGCATATGTTGTTTCAATCACCATGTTTCAAATTGCATGGGCATGTTCTACCAGATCATTTCAAAAGTGATTGAGGGATTTCAGGTGACCTTAGAGCAAAGCTCTAGTTATTCCTGCTCCACTTCCTTGGTGCCGACAGTAGAATCTTATTAAGGCCAGAAAGTCTACTAGGAATATGAAACATGAACAGAATCTGATGCAAGAGGGAAGAAAGCATATTTCGGTGAATGTGAGGATGTGAGATGAGATCAGATGTGCACTTGGGGCAGAAACTTACTGCTCTGGTGCTTCTGGGGAAAGGATATACGTAACTAAACATACCTATAGTTATGCCTTATCACATCTCACCTGCAGAGAAATCCCACCACAATGTGCTTCCTATTCCTTCAGTTATCAGAGAGCAAAACTACAGGTTGGAAGTTATTTTGTTAAGTTTAAGAAGAGAGGAAATACCAAGCTTGCAGTTCAGAGATGTCATGAAGAGTAAGATGTGTTCTCAAAATGCAGAAACGTTACATGTCCTGAATTAAGACACTTATATCTACCACACATGCTGGGGACTGACTGACTGACTGGCTGGCAAGTAGCTCAGCAGAGAAGACCCCGGGGGTCCTAGTGAATATCAAGTTGAATATGTGCCAGCAATGTGATTTTATGGCAAAGGCAGCAAATGGTGCCCTGGGCTGAGTTAGGAGGAGTGCTGTCAGTATGTTGAGGAAGGCGATCCTTCCCCACTACTCAGCAAGAGTAAAGCCACACCTGGAGTACTGTGTCCGTTTCTAGGCTCCCCAGTACAAGGAGAGGGGGAGCTACTGGAGGTAGTCCAGAAAAGCACCACTAAGATGATCAAGGGACCATAGGATCTCTCCCACAAAGAAAGCCTGAGGGAAAGCTGGGACTGTTTAGCCCCGAGAACAGTAGTCTTAGGATGGATGTCATCAATGTGTAAAAATAACTGAACAGGGGTTGCAGAGAAGACAGAGTTAGGCTCTTTCCAGTGGTGTGCCTAGGGGCACAGGACAAGAGGCAGTGGGCACCAGCTGAAACAGTCAGTTTCTTCTGAATGTCAGGAAACACATTTTTACTCTTGAGAGTGACTGAGCACTGGCATGGGTTGCCCAGGGAAGTTGTGGAGTCTCCCTCTTTGGAGATAGTTGAAAGCCCTCTGGACATCATTCTGGGCAACTGGCTCTAGGTGGTCCTGTTTGAAAAGGGGCCTTAGGTAAGATGATATCCAGTAGTCTTTTCCAGCCCTAACCATGCTCTGATTCTGTGATGCACAAAGGAGCAGTCTGCTCTAGCTAATGGTTTTGTCGAACAACAGTATTCTAAACCGTTTGTCATTGGACAGTCTGGTTGTACCTGTTGATTTCTGTGGCATGATATGAGTGGAGTTGAAAAAGATGCCACACAAGAAGAATTTAATCTCCAGATAAGAATACACAGCAAATACCTCTCAAAAATATGACATTATTCTGTCCTTTAAAAAATGTCACCTCTGTCAATTTCTTCAGATTAAAGGGGTTTCAAAAATTTTAAGGAAATAAAACATAATTATTATTTCAGGGTTTGTTTTATTACTATCACTGTCTGTTCTGACCAAATACTACTGGCTTGTACTAGAGATTTTTCTCAATGAGAAATACATACATACACACTCATACTCTTGCACACATACGCACACACATGTGCCTTGATAGCTGAGCAGCAAAGGGGTGTTTCTAGCAATCTCTGTGCTTCTGAGAGTCGAAGAAAGCAGTCTCATTGTACAAAGGACACTTCTACCTAGATAAGCATATTGTGCTTACTTGTGTAAGCCACAGAAACAAGAAGTTTTGTATTTCTTTTGTAGTTCAGTCTCATATATTAGGGTGTTTTTAGTGCAGTCAAAGTGGAAGATACTTTTCTTCAGATTCTATTGAGAATAAAAACTTGTCTATTATGGAAAAAAATGCTAAGATCTGTTTCACAACAAATACTTCAAAATCAAAATTACATTTATATTGTAACATACGTTACATTAAATTCTTTTAGATTCATGCTATATCCCTATAAAATATTTTACAGGGAACTGGCTGTGAAATGGCTATCCTCCTATTACATGACTCAGGTATATGTTTATCCTTCCATCTGTTTAGAGAAATTTGCAGCAGATTCTAGTTTTGTGCCTAGAAATGTGTGGGATAAAGTAAGAGATATTTGGGCAATTACTTGATTCTTATCCAAAATTCTGATAATAAACGTAAGGATGTTCCTATTTGTTTTATTTTAAAATGGAAGCTTAGAAATTTATTCTCTTCCTTTTATTTTCATTTTCTTATATTGTTTCCTTCCATCTTTTATTACAGGTTTGGTTATTCTTGTCTAAAAGAGATTTGCAAGAAATACAGTTTTTTCTCAGGCACTTTGCATTGAGCTCTGCTTTATTACTTGCTTCTCAGAGAATAATGTGCATATAGAAACCAGAAGTGTGCCAGAATGTCCCAGCAGTTTTATTTCATAAGTGTAGTGCCCAGCAGCTCCTTCCCTGACACTTTTTGGAATTAATGAGGAAGGAGATATAACTACTCAAAGAAAATTATAGATAATTTCTAGGAATATAAATAAAGGATCATGGCATCCTGAGTGCATCCTGAAAACTTTGCATACATAAATGACATTTTAAGACACAGCTATTAATAGGTGTCTTCATCCTCAGTCTTCCTCTTTTTGTGGCTTTGCTCAAGTCATTAAGTTCAGAATTTCTACTGCTTTCTTTCCAAGTAATAACAAATGTACACATGTGGTTTTGAGAAGTTCTTAGCATTTGCTTCTTCCAAATATAGGCCATTTAATTTGAAGTTAATTATTTCCGCTTGTGTTTGCATATTGTCAGAATATCAGATAATACCTGCCCAAAAGGTGGAGTTCATAAGCTCTTCAGTTTATTTCCCTCTTTACCTCCATTTATAGTTGTACCAAATTATTTTTAAGATTTCTTTATCGTGGTTTTATCTTTTTACTAGTCCTAAATAAATATGCTTTCCTTCATAACCATTAATTCATTGATACTAATAACGAAGTACCAACCCCAAACTAACCTGAAAGCTTGTTTTGGCCACTCTGTCAGTGATTGAAAAGAGATCTAGGGCCCTTCCTGATTTAACATATTCTCCTCCAATACCAACAGTAGTATGGGAACTGCCAAGATAGGCTATAACTGTTGCATACGAACAATGCAAACTTGCTTTAATGAACACGCAAGGATGGGAGTGGGATGGAGGGGTCATGCAAGAACATATAAAGGTGACAGAGGTAGTGGCTTATTACAGGGAACAGTTGCTGCACTGTTTTGGTAAATGTCAGTTGTTGCCCATGTCAGATACAAGACAGATCAGAAATCTGAGCATGGAGACCTCTTTACAGTACTTTTCTTGACATATAAGGGATTTTGGATCAATAACACTCCACCTCTAGAACAGGTTACAGTATTTTGGACTGTGTGTTCTTAATGGCTTCTGTTCTACCTTTTTTGGCAAGAACAGATTAATTTTCTGTTGTTGATCAGGAGCAGCTTTTTAAAGACCTACCAATTCAACAGCCAAATGTGTATGCTGATTATTTGTACCAGGTTTAGAATTGTAGCTGATCTAAATGATTACAGATTCATCTAAAATGAGACAAACACCAATTAAGAAGTATCAATCTATTTTTATAACCCATGTATCATTACAACTTACTATTATTTAATATTACTTCAAATCTGCTTAAAACATGAACAATATTAAAAACGAATGAAGACAGAATGCTCTGTCCTTAACTGAAGGTGAAAGAAGCAGCCTGGTTTTGTGTATACCACTGCAAATATACTGGGCCCTCCCAGACAGGTGATTTCCACTCACCTAACATGTATGTGCTTATCCCTGTGGAAGATGCAAAATCCCAGTACTGGTTTGATTAAAACATGTAGGGGTTTGCATAGACATTAAAATGATGACTTAAAGGTTTAGAATTTTTATCTTTCAGTTAACACCTGCAATATTTACTTTAGAATAATAATTTTAAAAAAATCACAGAAAACTAAAGTGGGAATCTTGTAGAAGATATTCTAAATTTTTCTTTTGAGAGAAAGTGGTTACCTCAGTTTGGTTTTTTCTACTTATCTAAGACAAATAGAGAACATCTGTTTAAAGTTTAAAGCATGGGTGTTTTGGCTTTCCCTTTCTCTGTGGTATAAGGGCCATTGCTTTCTCCTGTGTCAGTGCTGAGTTTGGTGTTCAGATTTATTTGTCTCTAAAAGGAGGAAAGTTGCAGCTGCAACAGCAGATGGACTTCTGATGTGCGTATCTTTCTTCTCCAGCCCATTAAATTAAAAAGTTAATTTTGCATGTGTTTCAGTGCTACCTGAAGGCAACTTGCCTGACTTTTTTAGTCTTCTGAAAATGAGGTGCTTAATGCAGAAATAACAATCAACTCTACGTTTGACTGCATTAGATACTTTTTACTCGAGTTTTTAATTGCCTTTCATTTTGCATGAGGGAGTTCTGAAACATCAAATGAACTACAGCACCACCTGTGAAGTGTTCCCTGCAAATGTTAAGATGAAATGAGTGGGAAATATCAACAGCAGGCAACTTCAACTGCGATGAAGAAAATGCTCTTTCTTTAACGTAATTTATCTGACTCTTTCAGCACAGAGTAGCTTGGACAGGAAGTTAATTAACTGTTCAGCTTCTAACTTACATCCACAACTTTACACTTGCACAATAAATTAATGATAGGGAAGAAGTTATAATATTTCTAATAATTTCCAGAACCTTTGCTGGAAAAATGATGTGATGAAAGTGCCTATTAAGGCAAGAAAGAGAACTGAGATAAAAATCCTGCTTTCACTGCACTGAAGTAGACAGGCTACAGCCCACAGAGTATTTCAAAAGCAACTGTAGACACCACATACTGGGAAAGCTGTTGCTCTTTTTACCTCTTCTTGTCATTAAACTGTGTAGATTAACAGAATATGTTTAAAAAAAAAAAAAAAAAGAACCCAAACAAAATGCTATCAGTTATAGTACACAAAGGAACTAAATTAGGTTGGAACATAGTCTTGAAGGCACCATCCAGCTGCTGGCACTTGTTGCCCTGAATAAACTGGCGATACATGATTCCAGCCACTTCCAGTTTATTATTCCTGAAATTACCATTGAAGGAGAGTGTGCTAAAATGGAGGAACCACAGATGCAAACCTTAATGGATAGTGAGAGAGGCATAATCCAAATGAAAATGTGCCTCCCACTGTAAACTGCTCTTCTTTTTGTGTTACAACTTTGGTGTAGCTTCCTCACAGTTCTCCATTTTATGTGTTTATCAGAATACTACCTAAATAAGATTAAACCTTTGTTCTATTTCAGGCAAATGTCAACAAATCACAAAAGATCACCTGGATATGTACATCCTGTGATTAAAATGTAAGCATGATAGTCAACTGAGTAAAAGATTAACTTCTAATACTTATTCTATCTCATCCAGATAGGCTGATTTTTTGCAGAATTTGATTCCTGTGTAAGAAACTGGGAGCTGGCCTGTGAAGATAAGTTTGTATGAAAAGGCTGTTTTCCATTAAATGTATATTAAAATCAACTATGTGAACATTATACAGTAAATAGTGAAATATCTGAAACCCTCAAAATCTAGGAAATTTACAGGATAGCTAGGAAACGAAAATTATATGCTAATTCTGTATAACGATAATGAATTCAAATTTGCCAAGATATGTAAGATATCTGAGATGAAGAGTTTGGTAAGCTACACAACAGAAACTAGCAGTAATACCTAGATTAATAGCAAGGGAAAAAAAGATGACTGGAATGAAAGATGTCTGGTCTTGAGGAGTGGCACAGCAATATTATTTGTCTATTTGGTGAGCAAGTTTTATAGACTGCAGAAGTAGGTAGGTCAGGTCACCAATGAAGATCTGTGAAAAAGAGGATTGTCCTTGGATTTACCAAGTTAAACAGATGCTCAATGTTACTTTGTATGCTCCATCTAATATTTTAGCAATACTATTTTGGACAAGCAAATGAATTAAACTTATCTCCATACAGCCTCCCTGTTCCACAGCTTGAAAATGCCCAACATGTGCACTAAAGTGTTTAGAATATGAAGGTTTTATCTAGCATTTACTTAGTGCTACTATCCTTATTGTCACCAGGACCGCCCTTCAACAGAAAACAGTTACTGTTCTCCAGCTTTCACAGTAATGCAAATACCCCATACATATACATAGAAAAGTATACAGAATATGTACTTATAGTGCTTTTAAAGTTAATTGTAGTAAAAATACATTATGATAAAAGCTGTATATGTTTGAAGTGTTTAGTCAATTAAAATATTTTCCTGTGGCACTGTCTGGAAAAACATGTTAGCTCTAAATTTTCGGTTTTCCAAAAATATTTTCCTAGAGCAAATTCCACCAGAGAATTGGTGGGTTATTATTAAAATTGCAAAGTGACAGAACTCAAATAAAATTTCATTCTTAAATGAGGGTAGAATCTGGGGAAAATAATCTTTTAAAATTAGTTCTGCAACCATAAAAATATTTCACTGTTTCCACTTAGTTTGAAAGCTTTGTCAAAAAATCAGGAAAAAAATGTTAAAATTCAAACTGGGGGCAGGGGAGGCAAATCTCCTTACCTTTTCTAATTTGGATAGCGCAAGAGAATAGCAGTCTTTGGCTCTGAACTGCATGAATCTCATATTGGCTGGGTGAGTTAGTTCTGTGATAATGCTTAGGCTTGAGAACAACCTGTATTTTAAAAGAATGTAACAGTTAGACCTCTAATTATAACAATTCACAAATGTGAGGCTCTCCGTAGTGCTGTAGCTTGTACTCATGCCCATGTTTTTAATCAGGTTCCTGAAACCTATGATGGGTTTTGGCACAATGGAGTGCTGGCATAATAGCAGAGGAAAACGTAGAACATTCTCTGTAGAATTCACAAAGAAGCAAGCATAGATTCAAAGTCTGAGCTTATATTTTAATGCTAGGAAGGAACCACTTAATTTCATTACCGGAGGTTTTATTTAGTAATTTCTAAAATGACACAGATCTGTAAGGAAACAACAGAAGCAAAACTCTATAGCCTGCACCTATTATCTGGTTTCACATAAACTATTAGAACTGGCTTGTGTGCTCTTTACACTTGATTTTTTTTATTTTGTAGTTTTGTTTGTATGCTCTGTGTCCATAGACTGAGCAACATAGATGAAAACTGACACTTCTTGGGAGTTGCTGGGAAAAAGTATGGTTATGTGTACTTACATTCTCATTTTGAAATACTTAAATATACAGAATATTTATAAGTTAACACTAGTTCAGGCTTCTAGTAACAAAAAAATCCACAAAATGGTGAATAAAATTTAACTTTGATCTGGCTGAATTACACAGATTTTCGCAAAGCAAACTAAAGACCCCTTCCCCAGCCCTCAGAGCTCTAACAGCTAGAAATAAATGTGTATCTTATGCTACACTGTACTAAGCAACTTGGGATAAAACTTGGATTATCATTTGAGAATTTCCTCTACAGATTAGTGTCAGAAAATGAGAAGTCCATTTGTAATCTGTTTTGCTGGTCCTGAAAGTACTTATTTACATGTGACAACAGATAACCGTAGTACTAATGACATCATTAATGTGGCTTCAATCAGTTAAAAAAATAAGTGGTTTTCTTGAAAGCTGAATTTACTAAGTTAGTGTCAGATGGAATCCAGTGTACCTTTTTTGCAAGTCTTTAGTCTTTTCCCCTCATTTTTGTAAGGAGGAACTTCACTGAAATGGCAATTCAAGCAGAGCCTGAATGTGGGGAAACGTATGTCAAAACTATCTGCCAGTACGTGTTAATGCCATATTATTGCAAAACAGTTTCCTAAATCTCTCAGTGCCAAAATATAGACTGGTAATGATCACATGATCCCAAATGTGTCCTGAACATGTGATGGTAAAAATGCTAGCCCTTATTTTGTTAGCAGTTATCATGTCACTGTGAATAACCAAATATTAAATGTGAACATAAGAGGAAAAGTGGAACTGGTGAACTGGGTGAGCATGTGGATCACTTAACAATCACCGCTTGTGTATGCTGCAGTTTGAAAGGCACTGTGCATGCTCAGGAATTTCTGTGCCTTTTTAGCTCTTACATTCAGACTTTGATACAAACTTTGAGTGGTGCAGTATTGTTATACAAAGTCTATTTACGTCCTGCTAAAGATTAAGCACTTATGGAATGGAGTCTACATGCATAGATTAAACACACAAGCACACCCTCGAGATGCAACTGTGGTACATCTTCACTTGCATGATGTGTTTTATAAAAACCTGTGAAGTGCTCATGAAAATTGAAAAAAAAAATATCCTGGTAATATCACACTTGAAGGTATGAACTTGTATGTATGAAGTAGCTTAACAAATGTGTTAAAGTTCGGAGGAAGGAGAATAAATTTCCTCTTTTAATTCTGTATGATGTAGCATAGAATTACTTAAGCTTCTGCTGGCTGGAAATTGTCTTATATTGCTGTATTGAAGGACAGGCATTCATATTTGAAAACTAGCAATATAACGTTCAGAACTTAAAGCAACAGGAAATTAAAAGCTGATCTAATGACAAAATATACCCAAGTTACAGGGAAAAATGCAGATTACCAGGTTTCTGTTAAAGATGGGTTTAGTTTGTCAGCAGATATGAAAACTGATTTATATTAGGAAATCAGTTTCAAACCTGGTCTTAGTTAAATACATATTTTACTTATCAATGCCTTTTAGCAGAATCAGGGGAAAATTACTTTCCAGGTAGTGAGGTCCAGATTGCCTCTTGGTGTAAACCATGCTGCCCACAAGCTTTCAGCACTGGAACAGGCTAAGATCCCTCTTTTTTATTCCTCTTTTCTACTTCTCTTTTCTACCCCATTCTAGTGAAAAGGATTGGACAGGGTGGAGAAAGCCCTCATGCTGTTTATCTGGTATTTGGGAATAAGACTAGCAAGAGATACATTTAGTTCTTTCCTGAACCAAAAAGAAAACAATTTAATACGATCATCATAAAACCTCATTTGGTTTCTCTACAATTTGATGCTGACTGCTAGACACCAGCCAGACTATTGACTTGATACATATACTGCTGTCAATAGGCTTCTTTATGTGTTTGAAACATAATCTTAAAGATGTTAGCTAATAAAAATAGGGCCTCCCAAACACCACTTTTAAACTTATTAATTAATAGAAAACGAGTAAATACGTAAACATTCCTAGTATAGTCTGACTGCCTGAGGGCACCCACTATTTTTCTGAAGTGGGTTTACAGCTGTCTATAGGGACTCAATGGTTGGCTTCATATTTCGTATTAAAAACGGAAAAGCATCTCTAGGACACAGTCCAAAACTAGTAATTTCTCCTTGTAAACTATGCTAAATTGTTCTTTCCCATCCAAAGGATTAAAAATTCCTTTCTTAGTTAGTGTGACAATTTGAGTCACACTTCTTTACTCCTTTTGTGTATAATTCAGATAAGCTAGTGTTGTGTCACAGTTTTAATCGGTGTGGGACAATTTCTAGCTGTAGAAGTGCTAATAACTCTGTCATTATAAACAATGCATCGTCTTCTAAGATGGGATGACACAAACTCTCCTGGCAAAGCAAGATTATTAATATGTGTAAATAAGGGAATAATGTCAGAACAGGTACATGAGAACTGAACTGAACCTAGGCCAAACAGTACCTCGGCCCACCTGCATCACTTTTTCACACCTGTTTACTACCCTTAATGAGGTCAGCTGATCCAAGTCTAATTACGGAAGTTTAGAATAGCCTCTCTCTTCTGAATGATTTAACTTAGTGACATTAAGTGGAACCTTCTTCACTGATGTGGTATCTTTGAGAACAGCATACATTAGCAGAACTCCGGTGGCTTAAAATCCTTTAACATTATAGTTTGTGTAATGTCCAGCCTCTTCTTCATTAGTCTCTGACATTATTATGTATTACTAAGTACTGAAAAAACCTTTAAACATATTTTTAAAGTTGAGCTGTGAAACTATTTACCTTGGTGCAATGAATGTGGTTTATTCTGTAGAACAGGTAAATGCCACTACCTTAGGCCTCTCCTCAAAGCTTATTTCTACAACTTTACACCGTATAAAAATACAGTGAAATTATTTTACATGTTCTAAGGAGAAAAGTTAGAGGAGAAAAGTATTGTTCTGTCTTAAACGAAGACATTTATTCTGATTTCTTTTGATATCTGTAAAAAGTACCATGCGGTAGTAAAAATACAATGAACCAGATATATAGTTCAGACATGAGCTAACACTGCCATCTAGTGGTAAGCATTGTGCAGGACAACTTAATTATTATCGTAAGCTCTAGTTGGATATCTATGGTATGTAGTGTACTTGTGTTATTGTCGGTTTTGGTGTTTTTTTCTGTAATATTTTACAAAAGAGAATACAACTATGGGAAAAATCAACTGCTGCTTTCTAAATTTTATTTCTTATTCAGCTCATTTTTCTGTTTTATTTTTTATTTGGGGGTAAAATGTATTTCTGAGAAATTGAAGTGATGTATGTCAAAACCTCAGTGAGATACCCTAGCACAATACGGTTAAGAGCAGACTTGAATGATGCACACATTAAATTCAGTTATAGTTTCTACATTAAATCTAGGTGTGATTATGAAATACACCTGTGCTAGTATCAAGTACAAATTCAAAACCTTAAAGTTAGAAAAAGAGAGAACTAAAGTTTCTTGTGCAACACAGATTTTGCTGCTTCTGAGCACATGCAGAAGTGCCAACAGCATTTAACTGTGTTGTCGCACAGGGTTGAATTAAAAAAATCTTCATTGAAATACTTGCGTTTTTTTTCAATGAGCTCATTTTTTTGAAATACAGATTCAAAAGACTTTGACTATGCACTTCTCTCCAGCCTTATATGGAAGGCTTGACAAAGAAAAGGGCAGCAATATTGAATGATACTGAATCCTCTAGGGAAGGACTTAATTTTGCTCAGGTCTTACTAGAGTGAACAACAGGAAGTGCTAGGCCTAAGCCCAAAATCAGGGAGGCGTTTCATACTTGACTGTGTGATGTGTTCTGTGTGTGAGGGTTTTTTGGGTTTGTTTGTTTGGGTTTTTTAAGCAAGTAAGAACTTTTTTTCAGAGTTGGAAGGGACGTGTATCTCTTAGTACTTGTGAAATCAAGATATTTAACATAAAGTGAGGCTTTAATCAGGGGAGGTTCTCAGATGAACAGGAAATCTCAGTGTGTTTAGTAGTTCTTCACAGCACTGCCCTCTCAGACTCTTTACAAGACTGATCATTTTTTCACTCTAATCAGTTACTCCTTCATGACTCATAGTACATAGTTGTCTTACATCATGTTGCCTAAATGTGCCTAAAAACCTAATTTTTGTTCAAAACTAAACATTCAAAATGTGACCAGTTACTACTAACTTCATAGCAATGAATCGCTTGCTTTTTAGCATTAGAAGGATCTGCTTTTCACACTGGCTTTAGCATTACTGTGAAAAACTGTTGCACTGAGGAAAAATTTCTTTTCTCAACTATCTTGGGTCCTAAGTCTTCAAGAGTACGTTTCTTTTGCTTCCTGCAAACCTGACAGTTGACTTTTTAAATGATCACTGAATTCTGGGATGCTTAGAATTTCAGAAGAATACCTTAGGATTCTGAGTATATTGCTGAGCAGGTTAGGAAAAATTTGCCCATGTAAGACACAAATTCATGTAAGGGAAAAATTAAGTAGAATAAAAGAGGAAAAAAAAATCTTTTCTAATACGAGTATGAAATGGACTAGATACTTCACAATTAAGGAGGATGTATAGATAAATTGCAAAAATGTCTTACCTAAAGAGGGTTTGAACATTTACAATAGTCTTAGCATCTGCCATGTAGTCTTCCTCAGCACTCATTGTACTTTCTTTGTCCACCACCACCATATTAGCTGCAAAGGTGACCCCACATCTTAATAAGTCATCTAGGCTTTTGTGGAGAGAAAGAGGAAGAAAGAAACAAGCAACTTAAATATGGAACACGTAAAAGACTAGGGATGGCTGGAATTTGCAGATCACAGACATGAGCTGCTGGTTCCCTTCATCTCCATGTACATATCATAACTTCCAACATAATCTATGTTGAGAATATCATCTCAACTGATGGAATAAGATATGAATAATTATTTTCCTTGAAGTCATAAAGAATGCACTTCAGTAGGTTCTTATATTCCCTCTCCTTTTGGTAAAATGATACATTCATTGCAACTTCTAAAAATAAGCCTTTAATGATTACTTGGGAAAAGAGTGTCCCCCTACATGCTGCAACAACTTGCTTCACTGCAGTTACTTTTGGCAATAAACAGACCTAAATAAATGCTATGGGTTGCTCTTTCCCACAATTACATTTCATTTTCAAAATGCTAACAGGACATCTAACATATTCCTCTTTTAGGGAGTTGGAGTGTTCTCATGATGCTTTTAGGAGCAGATGTACATCAGTAAAGCCTTGCATGTTGTTGAATGGTGCTTCCCTTAAAGCCTGACAACAGGAAACATGAACAACTGAGTTACAGTTCTCATCATGTCTTGAAGCTTTGTTTCCAAAATGAAGCGTGTGTCAGTTGTTTTAACAATAGTATTTTCCATAGAAACAAAGCAATTTTGGAAAAAATTAGAAGGGACTTTTCTGTGATGAAGATAACTGCTAGGAACCTAGCCATTTTTAAGCAAGTGAAAATAAGAAGAAAAGGTGAATGTCATGGTTTCCAAGGGGGAAATGAAAAACTAAGTTTTTGCACTGTTCTGTTTACATCCAAGGTGAAAAGCTGTTTCGCCATTACAGTTGCTTCACATTTGGCAATCTGTAGTATCAGCTGATCCCTGAAAATAGCAGCATATTCTGAGATACCCAGATTATCTGCATTTCAGTGTTTCACAAGCTCAAAAGCTATTATTATTATTTTAGCAGGTACATTTAGCTAATTTGTGGAGAATTTAGAAAGTGCTGATTTAGAAGTATTGTTATTCTAATTTTAAAGTACCTTTAACTATAGGTTTCTTAATAGTGAATAGACTCCTATACAACTCTGGAATCTGTTCAATAGGTAGAGTTGGAGGAACATCGACTCTTCAGAATTCTCACTGAAAAACTGGATTCTGTTAATTTAGGGTACGAAATAAGGTGGGGTTTTTTTTCCACCTGGGGATTGATTATTATGGGCTTGTAGCCCCAAGTTAATGTTTGATATGTAGTGAAGCAAACCATTTTCTTTAAATTGACTGCATACAGGATTTTACTGAAATGCTCATGAAACTTTGCTCTTCTCTTGTTTCTGCCTGATTTTTACATTAAATCTCTGTTGCTAAACCTAGATATGCAACTATATATTAGCAAAGGTGAAGACAGAAACTTAAGGGTGGGTGATATTTTAAGTCGTGGAAGATGACTATTAGACACATTGAAGACTGTCTGCATTTAGGAGCTGTTTTTACAAAACCCTAGTCAGTAAACCTAGACAAATTATAACTAAGTATTGAATGAGACTAGAATCTAGCAATTTGTAGAAATGTATTAATGCACCTAAATAAATCTTAATCTTATGTTTTCAAAGACATTGTCCTGGTCTCAGCTGTGACAGTTTGTTTTTTTTTTTCTTCCTAGTAGCTGGTGCAGTGCTGTGTTTCGGCTTCTTAGTCTGAGAACAATGCTGATAACACACCAATGGTTTAGTTGTTGCTAAGTAATGCTTACCCTGATAAAGGACTTTTCAGTCTCTCATGCTCTGCCAGGGAGGAGGGGCACAAGAAGCCGGGAGGAAGCAGAGACAGGACACCTGACTCAAACTAGCCAAAGGGATATTCCGTACCACAGCACGTCATGCCTAGTATATAAACTTGGGGGAGTTGCCTGGAAGGGCACTTGGGTCAGGCTGGGTATCGGGTGGTGAGCAACTCTATTGTGCATCACTTGTGTTTATGTTGTTTTCTGTCCCCTTGTAGTTTTGTGTTCTCTCCCCTTGTTATTTCCTTTATTAGTAGCAGTGATTAAGTATATTGTACTTTAGTTCTTAACCTGTTCTTATCTCAACCTCCAGGTTTCACATTCTATTGACTGTCCTCCCCATCCCACCTGCGGGGGAAGGAGAGGGGTGAGCAAATGGTTGTGTGGTACTTAGCTACCAGCTGGATTTGAACCATGAAAATATTAACCTGCATTCCCTGTCACACTTCAGTAATGATATGCAAGTCAGAAATTTCAGATCGCAAATTATAGCACACAGACACAAACTATGCATGCAAAAAGACTGTCTTCAAATACAACAGACATTTACACATGCAATGACAATACACACAGCAAACCACTGAGCACTACAACGTTAAGTTTTCTAACAGTTATTTCACCTACTTGTCGATAGAGCCCACCATGTAGTAAACCATTGGAAACCAACAGATTGCATCCAGAAAATGCATATCTGGCCTAAGCAGCAGATGGGATTACAAAATGAAACACAGTATCACAACAGCAGCATCTTTTCTAAAATATTTAAATAAACTGGTAGCTTTTTAAAAAACAATAAAAAAACCAAACCAAACCAAAAACTTTGGCAATATAGTATCACTTTAAACAGGAAACTGAATGCTTATATTAATAAATTCACCTTTAAAATCAGAAATTTTATGGCACAGCATAATTGTAAATATAAGAATAAATGACTGATGTCAAACTACCAAGTTATACTCCAATGCATGACTTGACTTAGGAGTATTTAAAATAAGCACTGAGAATTTTCGATTAAAAGGTGAAGCAGAAACCCAGCCATCATTTGCGTTTTGTGTCAACCACTCCATTCAAGTCAATGAGACCATCTTAGATGAAACCTTGTTTTTAAAACAGCGTGTGAAAACTAAGATACTGTATTTTATTGCATTGTTTCTTTAATCATAAATTTTACTGTGTTTCTTCTTACATACCAAGAAACACCAGAAATTCTGTAGATATCAGAGTAAGCATAAATTGACATACAGAGAAACTAGGAATATAACAACAAGGCACACATATGTTCATTGAAGGTGGCTGAATTCCTAAGGCCAATCAAATAAATTACAGAATTCCAACTGTCTTAAATGGCAGCCTAAATTCTACCTCATGCATGTATGAAAAGCAATACTGGCTTTTCAGCTAGCTTCTGTAGTCCCATGAATTCATTTCAGAGGAATGGCTGCAAATGCTGTGTAGAGAGATAAAATGCTAACGATATTAGTTTAATCAGCAACCATAGCTTTTACCTTATGCTAATAAAAAGTGGGTTTAGCCATAAAAATGTCACAACAGCATGAAGTATGTAAACTCATGCACTATGCTGGAAAAGAGAATAAGCACCAGAGGGCACTGTATGCTCACATCTTTAATCTTAAAGTTGCAAGTCGCAATTCCTTTAGCCTAGTTTAGGCTTTTAGCAATTTGTGTAATTCATTTTATGCCATAACGTGTACATAAAAACTTCTGTTTTGCAAAGAGGTGTATAAAGCTTCACTAAAGAGCTGTTTCAGCCAAAAGTGGGACACTTCACAGCAGGCTTTTGTATAATATATCACTTGAACTAGAACATACATATGCAAAGGGAAGTGTCAGCCTGGAACCAGAACCTGTAAGATGTTTTTGCTGCTGTCCTTTCTTTGAGCCATAGCTTGATCTTATTTCCTTTATATGGCTAACCTCTATTTTTGTGTCTTCCAAATTGTGATTTTAAGTATTTGACCAGTACCAAAGTATTGTAAAAAAACCCAAGAAAGTCTCATTGTTTATTAGATTAGAGATGAATCGGTCTTCCCTTGCCAAAGAAGAATTTGTCTGAAATTTTAAACAGCTAATGCAAGAAAGCTAAAAATTTCAGTGATCTCCAGACAGATACAGTAGTAATGGCAGTATTGCAGGTTTCTTCCATGACTATATACATACAGACTGGGTGAGTGGGTGTCCTACTGGATTAAAGAACTGTTTATCTTGCAGTCTAAAATTATTAAAAAGATACCTAAGTGGTCCAAGCCACTAACTGCCTTCTGTTAAGCAGGTTAGTGTTGTCTGAAGTACTGTCATGTATTTGTGAAACTGCTACACAGCTTGCTTTTTACAGTGTTTGGTTTATAGTGCTTAGAAGTAGTCACATTATTTAGAGTATTTTTATGAAATACTTAGCTAAAACATGGGCTATGAAGAGTAAGGATATTCCAATTCACTAAGGCCATGGGCAGTGAGTAAAAAATCAGTTTTGTATATGACAGTGAACATAGGGTATTTATTTTTGTTACTAATTTTTCTCAAAGATAAATATGCCACATTTTTTATTTTAAATTGGCCGTGTTAGAAATGATTGTTTATTGAAGTAATGGTAAAATGAGTTTAAACTGTACCACCAAGAAAAAAAAAAGTAAAATCTACTTACGGGTTATCCAGGAGTAAAACAATGGGATTTAGCTCCTTCTTTGGTCGGTAATAAGCTCTGAGTGGAACAATAAAGTTATATAAACCATTTCCAGCAGTTTCTGCTGCAACTATAATCAATTTATTTTTGAATCCATAGGCTTTGGCATCTTCATAGTAGTTATGCTGGCATCCCTAAAATCAAAATAAGAAACAAGTTCAGTGGATATGAATCACAGAATCATAGAAGACTATAGGGTTGGTAAGGACCTTAAGATCATCTAGTTTCAACCCTCCTGTGAGGTAGGGACACCTCACACTAGACCATGTTGTCCAAAGCTCTGTCCAACCTGGCCTTGAACACTGCCAGGGATGGAGCATTTACCACTTCTCTGGGCAATCTGTTCTAGTACCTCACCACCCTCACTATAAAAAATGTCTTACTTATATCTAACTGAACTTCCCCTGTTTAAGCTTGAACCCATGACCCCTTGTCCTATCACTACAGTCCCTGATGAAGAGTCCCTCTCCAACATCCTTGTAGGCCCCGTTCAGATACTGGAAGGCAGCTATGAAGTCTCCTCTTCTCCAGACTGAAGAGAATAAAGAGATTTAGCTGTGACTTTAAAGGGTTTTACCATTAGAAACAGAAAACTGTATCAGGTGACCTGATATGGACCTGATTAGACATAAACAAATGCTTAACGATGAAAAGGGTGATAAAAACATGATAGCTTAGTAACTGCTGAACAAACCTCATCTCTAAGCAGAAAGCAGAATTTAACTCTGTTCAGATGTAAGATACAAATGAGAATGCAGTTTTATCCAGTAAGAGAAACTCCTTTTACCTTATCTAGTCTTAGACAACAGAAGGGTACTTTTTCATGCAGAAGATGGCAAAATGTGGGAGAGCTTCCAATATACGGAGAGTAAGGAGGATAGCCTTTGGCATACCTAGGAGAACAGAACAAACATTTTTCAGTATAGTAGATTACCAAAATACAATTGACTATACGACTATTTCATGGGATGTTTATATGTAGCCTAAATTTTGCAGTTATCTGTAGACTACAGTCTGTAGAGTCAAGTACATGAACTATCTTGAATAAGGATCAAAGGTATGTGTTCTGTAGCTTCAACCAATTCAATAATGCTGAGTGAAAGTTATCATGATGTTTTGTACTAAAGGAATTTTGCTTGGGTTGTTTGGAGGTTTTTTTACAAGCATTTTTGGAAATGTGCTGACATATCATAGTGTGCTGTCCTAGTGTTTAGAGTGCATGTACTGCTTTCAGCTCTGGGGTCCCCATCATAAGAAGGACATGGATGTGTTGGAGCGAGTCCAGAGGAGGGTCACAAAGACAATCAGAGGGCTGGAGCACCTGTCCATAAGGAGAGGCTGCGAGAGCTGGGCTTGTTCAGCCTGGAGAAGAGAAGGCTCCTGAGATACCTTGGAGCAGCTTCTAGTGCCTAAAGGGGGCCTACAGGAAATCTGGAGAGGGACATTTTGCCAGGGCATGTAGGGATAAGACTAGGGGTAATGCCTTTAAACTGAAAGAGGGTAGATTTAGAGTAGATATGTGTACTATATCGATACATAAAAATAGACAGATACAAGATATATACAGGAGATACGATATATATGATATCTTGCCTCTTTACAGTGAGGGTAGTAAGACACTGGAACATGCCGAGAGAAGTTGTGGCTGCCCCATCCCTGGCAGTGTTCAAGGCCAGGTTGGACAGGGCTTTGAGCAACCTGGTCCAGTGGAAGGTGTCCCTGCCCATGGCAGGGGGGTTGGAATGAAGGTCCCTTCCAACCCAAGTAATTTGATTATTCAAAGTACCATAAACTTCTAAGGGAGGCAAAAAAAGCGAAGCAAGAAAATAGAAATAATTCTGGTACTTTTTCTTTCTCCATTTTTCTTTCAAACACTTTTCAAGACTGAGTGAGGTCATTACCTTCGTGCTTTAAAAACATACCTTCAACACAGAATGAAATTTAAATGGCAAATCATCTTGCTGATGATATTTCTATCTGGCCTTGGTGTTTAACAATAGAGACCTTTTAAATCCTAGTATTTCAGTCTGCAGACTTAAGATTACTTGTTCTATAATATTTCATTGGAGTTTTATGATTTTCCCTGGGGATTCTCATGCTTGCCACTGTTGGAGATGGGAAACTGTGCCAGGTGAGCCACTGGCTTAATTGTGCATTGCAGTTTTAACATCCCTGTCAGTAATCCCAATAAACATGATTGCTTATCTGCATGGCAGTTACAGGATTGAATCTTTCGTTTTTATCCGAGTAATGAATGCATCATTACTTTCAGGAACATGCTAACAAGCACTTTAAATTGGATGTAATAATTTGCCTCATGCTGCGTTTTTTGTCATTCCTACATTTTGAATTCAGACATCTAGCCTGCGGATTCAACAAGCCTGTTGAATGGACACTGCAATCTCAGGACAAAAGTACTTACCTGTTTACAAACTAGTAGAATCCTGTCTTTATAACTACAGAATGTAAGAGAGAAAAAAAAAATTGCAATACGCAACTAGATCTATACAACTGAAGATAGAAAATCTCCAGCAAACGTAGGAGGTAATCTGATTTAGGGGGTTTTGAATTTCAAAATAGGCATAACAGCATTCTGCTAACAGGCAATAGCATTTCATAAAAGGGAATAATTCCATAATTGGCCTTTATGGGTCTTGCTTGCTACAACTGTTTGGATTGATCTGCATGTCAAAAAATCATCCATGCCATTTACATAGTATTGGCTTTTCAAATTAGTTGCCCATTTTATATTCAATATACATACTCTAAGCCTGCAGAGACTTCTTCATCTGACGGCGTAGTTTCATCTTCTGACTGATCACTTAGCAGGTCACATGTCTGAAGTGAGGATGAGTCTGCAACCTCCAAAACAGGTGCTATACTGGGCCGTCTGCCCTCTCTACCTCCGTCAGAAGGAAGAGCTAGCGTAGGTCCACTGGATGTTCGGCATCCTGTGTCTTGCAAATCAATAGCCACTGTCCCTGTAGTAGCATTGAAAGCATTTTCTCAGTGTGGCTTTTCTATCATTGATATATATTTTCTTGCTAACTACCTTTTCAAAATCATACCATGTGACTAATCTGTATTTATATGCACCAACAACCTGTACAGTCTTACTGAGCAAGGGCATTTTTTTTTTTCATTAAAGCAGCTTATGAAAACTTATTACAAGCAACCAGTTACAAATGACTAACAAATTACCCATGTGATTATTATTACTTTTTCATGGAAGTCTTAAGCAGTTTAATTCCAGTTTAATTTATTTTCATTAATTTTAATACAAGGGCAAGTGCTTAGTATTTTTTTCTTTCTGCACACTATTTCAATTTACTTAAAATTTTAGGAACACACTGTTAAAAGCTTTAAAATGCAATATTAATTGAATATGTTGTGGGTTTGTTTTGTGTTTTTTTTGTTTTTACTTACCCATGCTGGCTATTATACTGTGTACAGGTAACCTAGAAGTTCCATGATAGGATAATTTTGATTCACGTTTTTTTCTATGTTTTTCTTGCTTCTTAAAAGCAGAATTCTCTTCTTTGGTGATATTTATGTAGAAGCATACATCTCTAGAACTCATGATATATCGAGGACCTGGATTCAGCAAAATGTTTTTGTTATCTTCCTTTCTAACACCAATCAGACAGACTCCAAACCTTAATTAGAAAAGGAAAGGCATGGTTCATTTTGCATAGATGACATATACCAGAATTTCCACTGTCAAAAATAACCCCCCAGTATACTTTTGCAGAATATCATCATTTGCAGATTTTTGAATGAAAATTGTTTGAAAAATACTGTCTCCTAAATAGGCCACTTCTGATGAAGCATTTTTTCTGGGCTCATGAATCTCTATGTATTTGAATCCAGAGTTTTTATTAATCCCAGTAATAGTCTTCTAATGCTGTGCTAGTTGATTTATTTATTTATTTTTCTATCAGATGAATAGTCCCTTCTGTGAAAATAGTAGAAGAATTGATATATAATATGAAAAAGATTCATCATGTTAAATGCTTCCATTATTCATATATAATGGAAACTGGTTTTGGAACTCATTTTTTGGAATTCACTCCTAGAAAAGTGTTTGATTAGTGATAGAAAATATGATATTAAAGCAGAAAAAAATCTTTCACTTGAGTATGAGAATAAACTCAGTGTTCAAGGTTTGATTGATAGATGTTCATTTTGTTAAATATATACAAATATACACAACTTGTGTTCAGTTTGTAAATTCACCTCACAGGACAGCACAGAATAAGTGATGCATGATCTGGAACCTAAGGCAGGTATGTGAGCACCTAATAGGAAAAAAATATGGTCTTACTTTGAACAATCAACAGAATGTAGCATATGCCACCTTTAAAATGTACGTTTCAGGTAAGATGAACATGCCAGAAGGAAGCCAGATTTCCAGCTGACTCCTAAGTACATTAAATACACTAACAGCCACACACCCTTTTCTAGATTGTTTCGGGCACAGAAAGGGACTGGTGTTCTCATATAACCTTTCTAAGGTTTGAATTTTTTTTTTTTTCTGGTTGTCAAGCTTATCCTATGTATCCTTTACATTCTCTTCTTTCAAACTGAGCTGGCCTATACAGAACCAACATGAGCTTTTACCTGACCAGGTATAACTTACAGAAAAATATCAACAAATTATATTAGTGGCCAGATATCTAAACCCAGAAACAGAGTGATGTGTAGTACCACACCTCTGAATACGGAGCTATGTTGCAGGCAAAACAAATAATTATTTGTTTAAACTTTTAATTGTTGATAGGAAAATAAACATACTTTTTATGAGCATGGAAAGAAGCATATGTGAAGCTTTTCCCCTCATACTCAGCAAAAAAAGTACTTTCTTCCAGGTTAATATGATACACTTCATTACCAGAGCATCTGCCATACATTTTCTGCCATTGTTCTGATGATTGCTGACTCTCCCTGAAATATGTACAGATAAAGAGAATAATTTAAAACTTAATGTAAAATCATTATAAATCAGAACAGTATTTCATGGCAATAGAAACTACAAATATTTATTAAAAAGATCCTATAGGCTAATCTGAAAAGTATTTGAGATCAAAGCTTAGTAATGATGTATGTACAGAGATTATTTTATGCAATTAAAAGTTTTCTGATAAGTAATAGGCATATAAGATTATGCACTTTAATATCATGAGAGATGTGGCTATTCCTTAAAATTCACACCATCTCTTCAGATGCTTCATGACAGATTGTGTAATTCTTGTTAGAAGTAGGTAAATAATCATTAAAAAAAGCTTAGTAGGAAAGACCCATTTAACTTTATTTACTTTGTAAGACATATATTTTTTCTCAGTTTGCTTATTGATAATCTTCAGCATCTACCCAATGGACATTTTTAGTTACTGTGCCTGTGTATACTATAGCAAGTATATACCTGCTTTTCTCGAGTGCAAGAAAATAAATTATAACTTCAACCATATTAGGCATATCATCCTTTACTGTATGCAGCTAACATCCTTTATCCAAATGGACTGTTCGTGTAAATGCTCCAAACCTCAGCTAACACCAGGAGTTGCAGAATTGAGGCTTCTGTGAATTCATAACTTTCACTTGGAAACAAGGTTCTGTCTGAATGAGTTTTAGTGGATATAATGGATGCATATAAGTATATATGCAGATAGAACATAAAAATCATACATGTGCTGTGTTTTGCCACTTGGAGCTAAGGTCTCAAGATACTGGAACATGCTTCTTTGTGCTCATTTATACCTTTTTAATATCTTAGCACAGTTCCTGTTTTTCTTCGGTTTACCATTCTTCTCCACACTCAGTGTAGAAACATTTTGTTTCAAGATTGAACTAAGAAAGCCATTTTTATTGCAACAGTATTAACAAACAGTGCTCTATGTGCAGAATAACAGAATTACAGGAGAAATGTTTTCCATATTTCACTTTTCCCTCTAAAATAAAATGTTCACCTGTTTAAAGTCTGCTTGGTTCCAGTTAGTTGTCTAAAAGCTTCCCATGGAGCTGTTCTGTAAAGATCACATTAAGTTTCAAGTCAGACAGGCTATTTCCTTCCAATATTTTGTATCATAATACAAACCCTAATAAACTTCTATTACTAGATTAAATAACTAGATAACATTTAAAGATAAATGTTAAGATTAATAATTAAGATCAATAATAAGATTATAAATAAGATTCAAGGTAGAGTTTTGGTGTTTTATAGACAAACAGCTGAGAAGACAGTGGGATTATTTACATCTAGTTTGTTTAATCTGAAAAACAGCATTAAAGGCCAAAGTCTGCCTATATAAGCAGCAGCAAACTTCCCCTTAATTTTAATAGCAAGTTGATCTGGCTGAAGTTCCTTAGAAAATGAACGTTTTTCTCCAGTTTCTTCAAACAGTAATACTAGAAGATAAGTTGGTTTTAATGTATGTACATGTGTTTCTTTTTGCTTACTGTTTATTGTATTATCATTCTAATTAGGATAATAGGGAATAATATTTTTCCCTGTGTTCTGTGGCTATGTATTGCCTTCAACTTCCACTGATTTCCCAGTGTACGTATCGTCATGATTATCAGAAATGAGCTGGCACTGTTAACAATGTCAACACTATTTCTTAATAAATACAGGAAGTAGATTCCCTGTGGAGTAGGTGGCACTTCATTCGTAAGAGTACAACAAACAGTTGGGACAATGCTTTACCAGTGAAATGTCAATAAACGTTTTCATTCTATTAAAATGTATGTCATGAAGTCTATTCTTTTATATAAGGAAGTCAAATACTGACAGGGATTTAAAACTCAATGCCTACATAAAATTGAATATAGATGCTGGTAATAACCTCAGTAAAGGATAATTAAACATGTACATATGTAAAGGAAAGCAGTTCGCTGTTAATGTTGGAAGTCTACTTAACAAATGTTCACCATTATTTAGACATATTTTAGTATTGTTTGGATATAAATGCATGTATAATTAAATTTTTTATTTGTAGTTTAGATAATCCATTTTCACGTATCTTTTTACTTATACTTAGCTGAACTCAAATGCTCATCTGACTTACCTGTATGCATAAAGGTAATTTAACCTATATTAACAATTAGCAGTTATTTACCTATTGTTCAACATTAGAATTTATCTAGAAAAGAAAAAAAAATTACTCTGATTTATGAATTAGTCAAATCCAAAGCAGTTTGATGTCTGCAGTACAGTGACAACAGATGAAGCTCACAACTGACGCCTATTTTCAAACCAGATTTACCTCCCCGACAATGAAGTGCAGAATCATTTCTTTTAGTCTACACAGTTCAAACACCCTAGAGTCAGTGCAAATCTCAGGAGATGCTTACGAAGACTATAAGTTTAAAAGGATTCTTTTTCTCTAAAAATTAGTGTATACTCAAATTTTGAAAGTAAATTTATTGACTTGAAAGTTAATTTAAGTATAATACTTCTGAAGATCAGATTTATATCTGTATCTAGCTATGAGTTTATTTTAGTTGACAAGTGTTTAAATCAATTACAGAATTGCACATAAAATGATGAATAAAAGTAAAATAAATGTACAAAAATAGGGACATTGAAGTGGTGATTCAAGAGAAAGAAATTATTTTCCCATATTTAAAGATTTTATGTGATTTTTCAATTGTGTGGGGTTTTTTTGGCCTTTGAATTTAGAATACTATGTTCAAGAACCACATATTAAAAATCAATGGTTGAATGTCTAGGTGTTAAAAATCACCTAAACTAAGTTTTCACAGACACAAAACTTCCAGATTAAAGATGAACTACCTAACAGTTCTAAGCAAAAAGTAAGCTCAAGTACATTAGTTAATGTTTTCAAGCATTAACTTGGCAGTTAAGGTGCCAAAGCAGTAGGGTGTTTTTAATAGGATCAGAGCAGTCTAGGAAAAAGGACAGCTTTGTCCTCATTTCCTAATTTTGAATGCTTGACTAGGTGGCATTTATCATAAAATGAACAGATTTGTGTATTTGTACAAAACTTAGTGAAAAATTAAAATCACAGTTCAGTTAGGGTTTTGAGAACATATTCCAGCATTTCCAAGGTATTTTAAAAAGAGATATATAGAATAAAAGAGGAAGAAAAATCCTACCAGTTTGGATATTATGTACCTTTTTAAGTATGTAAATTTTTAGCTGTTAAGAATACTACCCTTCTTTCATGTATATATAATATGAAAGAACTAAAAAATACTCTGCATTCTGTCAGATAATGAAAGCTAGAGAGATGAAGAATGTATTTCACCATGATTCTTTTACAAGTTTTTGTTTGGGGTTTTTTGATTGGTTGGTATTTTAATAGTAGCATATACTTACTGTCCCCTAGACGTATGAACCAGAAGTGTGATTAATGTAGAGGTAGCTGGGCATATACAATTTAAAGCTAGCATAGCATATTTGAATTCCTCTTCACACACCACATGATCTGTAGAAAAAAAGACATAAATTGTTTTACAAAAATACTTTCCATTGAATAGAATTATCACATCCTTTCCTTGTCTAGGAAAATGGTGAAAATGGGGACAGTCAAAATATGCCTCCATATCTTCATCTTCCACTTGAACCTGGAGAGCAGCTGTGCATGATTTGCCCCATCTATGCTATCATTGAGATTGCATGAGTAGAGTTAATTTTGCAACCAGTTTATGCTTTCTGTACTGCAGCTACACATGGAGAGGATGCAATGGCTCTTTGATTCCCACTGTTTTACTGCACTAGATGTGAAAGCCATGTAGCATAGTCTAGGTTTTACCATTTTCAACTTCTGCAGTTTTGCATAAACTGGCATAGAGACATCAAGCATTGTACAGAGATACACTTTTGTGTTCAGGAAACAGCATACCTAGGATACTGCAGTGCAGGACTGCTGATCAATCAGATAGGCTGTACTGACTTGCAGATTGGGATTCGGCAGTGGCGCTGGGATCTTGCACTGCACTTCAGTATGTGATGCAGATTCAACTAATGTTCTCCCCGGAAGTACTGACAGCTGCTCTCTCCTTGCAATGTAGGCAAATAAGGTGGTGGTTTTTCCTTTTACAACTTTGCATTCTTTTTACCCCAGCCCTTTCCTGGCTTTTGCAATCACAAAATTATGCTTTGTTCTTGAGAGTCCTTACAAGAAAGTATGTCTGCAACATTAGTACTTGCTGTGATGGAATAGTACTACAGACATACTAATTTTTTCTTGTCTTTTAATGGAACTTAGTGGGGGGAAGTAAGCAGAGAAAGCAATAGAGGCATTATATGTAGTTCTTTATATTGGCTTGTATTTAAAACTGCCAAATTTTCTGCACATGCTATTGTATGAATTATTATTCAACTTGCTAGTGTTTAAAATTCAGGCCACAGTTAAACGCTCTCCAGTGCTGGTGACAGCGTGAAAAGGAAATAGAAATCACTCTTTAATGTCATTCATATATATCTGTGACAGTATAAAAATGGATACAAGGGAAGAGCATAACCTTTAACTTGTTGTCAGTGTAGAAACTTAGTCATAAGGGTTTTCTAAGGTCGTGAAGGCAGTTATTGCATGCCAAGTAATTTTTTTAATTCTCAATTTAGTGTTTGATTCAGTCTGTGTTACTTTCAATGAGAGATAATTTGCTTCTGATGAGACAGAATACAATTTGTACAGCTGATGATCAAAACATAAGCCATATGAAAACTGCCGAGTAAAAGTAAGCAAATAACCTCCCCACCTAAATCTAAGTGGCTACATACCTCTACTTCTAGTTGCACTATTGTATCATTGAAAGCCTTAGAATCACCTTGCCTCTCTAAGCTACTTTCTAGGCAGATTTTATAGTATAGCTACAAGCATGCCATTTAATGATAACAAAAGTGAGGGCATACCTTGTATGCCTTCTCTATCCCTTTTTTTAAATTTCTAGAGGCTTTTCAATAACAGAATCATCGAAAGCAGAAATTCATTCATTTTCTGAATATCAAGGCTTATTTAAATGTCATAGGGAAGGAATTAATTTAGTTATACGAAGACACTGTCAAATATAGAAAAAAATAAGGGTTTTCCTCCCCTAAATATATTACAGTTATAGCAATTAAATATTTCCTGCAGCAAATATTTCTGATAGAAATATGTTCATTTACTTGACCATGTGCCATTAATAAATCTACCTGAATTTTATATTAGAAGTTTTGAGAGAGTAAGACATAATCTACTCCTTAGATGGAATGTCTGCATTCCATTACCATTAATCAGATGGCAAAGATTTATGAAAGTAGATATTGATTTCCTGATACTGAGGGAATGAGAATTCTCCATATTTTTTAATTTTGCCAACCTCCCATTATAGCTAATACTTTTGAAAATAGAAGCAAGAAAAAATATACAGGAAAATTACTTTATCATCTCCTATTTCAGATCTTTAACTAAATTGTACATGCTGACCTAAATATATGTAAATTAAATGAATAAACCATGGATGGCGCAATGCAAATGAAAAGTATATCTGACTTAAATCCTCCATATGTTCTATACTGTAACGTATGGTTGACTTTTTGGATGGATTTTATGTAAAATACCATGTTAACAGAGCATATAGCACACAGCAAACAGATTGCTGTCCTACAGTTGTCATCTTTATCGCTTACATGTAAGAGATTCACATTGTATTATCAAGTGTTTTTTTATCAGGAGCAGTCGGGCTGGGACTTGTAGGACTATTTCCCCTCTCTTGTAGTTTTTGAGTTTGTGAGAGCTATTTATGGCCTCCATGACTTGTTATGCATCCGTAAAATGCATATGACAGTAGTGCCCTACCTACTTCAGAAGAGTTTTGAAGCTTTTGAATTCTCAGAGGTATTTTGCAAACACCAGGTGAAAGATTCTTCAGCAATATAATTACCACGATTAGAAATATTGTAGCTATTTGAAACATGGAGAGGCACTATGTCTTTCTTGCTTGACAAGAGTTACGTTACTGTATTAGACACAGATCAGGTCAAAAATAATTTCCTTATTTCTCCAATTATTTGGCAGATTATAGTTTGCCCATAATGTTAATGTATTTGGTATTTATGTTCAGGACTTCTGTTGTGGAGCCATGGTGAGGGTTATACAGAACTCTATCTGATGCTGTCTAAAGTGAGTAGGAAGGAAGCTGAGTGACAGCTCTCCCACTCCTCAGGTCTGGGGCACGGGACATTCGTCAGGACCTGTGACAGCAGGTACTAGAATCAGCAAATTACTCAGTGTAGTGAAGCAGCAGAGGAAACTGCAGTTTATCTTGAACTGAGTATCAAGTATGTCAAATCAGTTTACCAAACACAACTATTTTGACTGCATTTCTACTAAAGAAATACTCCATTTAGAATTTCCAGAAGCTGCAGTTTCTGTTGAAAACATATTTTGACATAAAATTCGTTGCTAAGTCTGTCTCAAATAGATGCAGCAATGCAGTGCGGTGAGTTATGGCTTCTGTAATGTTCCTGAAGGTAGAATGTACTCAGAATACTGATTTATGCCTCAAGCATCAGCCATGTGGTAATAATGTCCTAGACATGACACAATTATTCTCAGAAACCTTACTTTTGTCTGTTTCATAAGTTAACATGAGCACGACCAGACCAGATGTAGAAAAATGCCCATCCATTATCTCTAGACTATTTTTATCTGTAATTAGGTAGATTAGGCAGGTGCATTCAATATCCATTTCGGTGAATCCGGACTATGTTCCTTTTGAATAAACTACTGCAGGTTTAACGTCAGACTTCACCAATCTGCTAATTCATTGGTGCATTTTGAATAGAGAATGTCAAAATGTATGCCCAGTTCCTGGAATTGTGATTATACATAATTTCTGAATATTCGAGGTAAAGGTGATTAATTTCTTTTCTAGCATATATATAAATTCAACTCAACATGCAGTTTAGTCTCTGAATTACATAAGTATTTGCTCCACTGTAGACAGCCTTCACTTTATTTCATGTATGTGCTGAAATGCAAGGCCAGATGCATGCAGTGGCCTTTTGTAGCCCAGTGTGTTTGAAGGAAAAGCAGGAAGATTTAGAAAACCCTATGTAACTGCCAGTGAGGTGAAGTGCAGTATTACTGAAAGAAAAACTGGGCATGTCAAGGCATTGGTATATTAGAAATTACAAAGAAAAAAATCAAACTGTTTCAGCTTAAGACATAAGACAGATGTTTCCTCTAACTGTCACGTTAGAGTGACTGTATACTTAAAGAGTGTTCACACCTTGAACTTGAGTCTGCTGGGACAAACACTTACTATGCCCTGTGCTTTTCAGATTTCATTGAGGAATCATATTCAAGCACAGAGAAACTTTCCCACTGCATTAATGTAAGCAGAACTTACCATTTTAAACAAAGTAGATAGAAAGGTGTGTGTCTGTCATCAAGTGAAGACAGGAAACCTGCCTTTCTGACAGGCCATGTTACCCTGTACAAAGTGTCTCCATTCTTTTGTTGTGATGGGAATAATGGGAATAACTTATAACAGTTACTTGACCTATATACTATATATATATATGGAGATATATTTCTGAAGCCTAAGGCAGAAAAGCTCCAGGATGCTCTTCCATAGGAAAATGTAGTCAGGGTTTAAATTTCAGGACTGTATTTTGAAATCTAGGATAACTGGTCAACCTGATATAAACTTGAGAAACTGGGCTTCCAGAGTTTTATAAATTTTGAATGCAGTTAAAAGACAAATGTGAGGAGGACTTTCTGGAACTCTTTGGTTGTATTTTTGCTAAATTCAGAAACTTTTTTTTTTATAGTTATAGCCTATAAACCTGTGTGTAAAGAAAAAGAAAATCCCACTACTGAATATTTCTGGTTCATAAAAATGCACAATATCATTTTGGGAAACCTCCAGAAGAAAGGATTCATTTTTTAAAGGAGTATCAAATTTAAAAGAAGCTTTTGCATTAAGGCAATATTAAAGCAGTCCTGAATCATAATAGGAAAAACACTTAGAAAAATGTTCCATATGGTTATACAAATTTTATTCATAAGCACTCTGCACAGGGCTATAGTCTGCAGCCCCCACTGGGTATGTATTTCAGAATGAAGAAGACTTGTATGAGATTAACAACCAAAGTAGAGTTTTTTTTAGAAAAATGCATGCACACAAACATTGTTCTCGTGACTGCCAATGGCCTTACCGTGTGCACTACGTAAGCATCCAGTGGTGGTTTATACCATGTTTATAAACTTGCTGAATTTAAAACTGCATTGAAAGTTTTCTGTGCTTTATGTGAGTAGCATTAAATTAATCTTGAAGGAGGGCTTGCAATTCTGCTTTTACTGTTGTGCAGAGAGTGTGGGGAACTGGATGCAGTGATCCCTATGATCCATATGAAATTCTTTAGGGATGTAGGGTGCTATATAAATATTTAGGCTTACAACACAGTACTACTATAATTAATATTAGAGAGGGGTAATGAAGCACAGAATATATAAGGTCTCTTCAAGCCTCTGAAGAACTGCAGAACATAAATGAAGGCAGTAAGATACCATAATGGTTAAGTTCAGCTGAAGGAAATACTGCAAAAAGAGGTTTTGGGGTTTTGTTGTATACTACTTAAAAAAAACCCAAAAAAACCAAACAAAAAAAAGAGTCCAAATTCTAAATCTGAGACTTAGAACAGAGATGAAAAATCACCTCTGTCTTCCAAGCCTAGTTGTATCATAAGCTCCTACAGAGACAAACCATTAATAATGAAACTCTCTCTTAAAAAGACAATTAGGAACAACGAATTAACACAGTTACCGATAAAGAAAAGTGGCCATGGCTAGGGAGAAGAGATTACATTTGTGTTGTGTGGTTTTAAGAGGGAGATGAAAAAGCACCATCATTCTTGTCACAGCATGAGCCTTATTCCCTGCTGTGCCATCTCACAGTTTGAGATTACACTTTTATAACTTCAGAACTGCTATGATGGTTTTTTCCTTCTTTCCAACCTAGTGGTAAATTCAGTAGCTTTTAGAATTACAGCTTTAACTGTTACTCTGGAATTGCTCTGCACTGGAATTTACTTTTTCATCACATTCTGGTATGATGGAGGAGGCTAATATTTTTCCATAGTAGGGGTTTTTTTTGTAATTTTGCATGAATCAGCAATCTTTTTTTCCTTAGAATATCCCTCAAGAAAATAGAGTCTTCAAAATTACAGCTGAAAAAGAAAGCTTTGCTTCTACTTCATAGAGAGATTTTTCCAAAGATAGGCAAAATGAGTTCATTATAAAAGTATTTGTATGATTTTGCATATAAGCATATATACGTCTGTATGTACATATATATGTGTGTGTGTGTATTTATATATAGACAGAGAAAGAGAGACCTATCTACAAGTGCAGAGAAACGGTTCATCAATTAAAGCTGGTAATCTTTTCTTGTAAGAGTGGATTTATTTGGCTTTCTTAACATCATTTTGCATTTTATGTAATAGTTTCTAAGATAAACATTTTACTGGATATAGAATTAAATTGTATGTCTCTTTCCAAAATATTTGCAAGTAATTAATATAATGTTTTTCAGCCCACATAGAAAAATACAGTCCAAGGGGAAGATTTACTTTTCCAATGGTTTGCTGGGGAAAATTTGGCCTCTTCTGAGCAGATCTTCTCATATACCCCATAGAAACAGTTCATTTTAGTAGACAGAAGTAATATAAAGACATGGACATAGCTGGAAACCTACCTGAATTTATAATTAAGAAGTAGCAATTATAGACCAAATAATTCTACTTTGTATACTATATAAGAGAGTAATAATCCTTACAAGTGCTTATAAATAGAACTTCAATGTAAAACATGACATTTTACTATTGATAGGCTATATACAGCCTGTAAGTTATTTTACAATATGCACTCTTAATCTGCTTACAACTAGTAAATTTCCCTAGGGAATCTCACTTTGCTTGTGCGTTTATGAAACAAACTGCCAAATATTAATAAGTGTTTCAAATGGCTGAAATCTTACCTGCAAACTTGATGTGGAATTTATTCTCAGGTTTCAGTATTTGGACATACAAAGGACAATTTGGAGCAAAGTCTTTAACTGCCCATGCTCTTAAAATGGTTTGATGATCCTAGAATAAAGAGTATGAGGTGATGACAATGAAATACAAATAACCATATCTCTTATCAGACTGACTCCATTGAAGAAAACTCATTTTAAGACTATATAGCACCAGCTGGTGTGGATGTTTATGTACATCTTATGTAAGTGTGCTGGTATTATGTATATGACATATTTAACTACAGAAATATATATATACACACACACAGACAACCCAGTAATTCTGCCGACACAGACATGGCTGAGGTACTCTCTGTTCACCAACAAGGTGTCTCAGACCTCTGCTTTGAGGCATCAAGCAGGAGGAGAATCACCAGCAGTGGATGATTTTAGACAGGGATTGCTTCAGAGACCTCAAGCCATATGAGCCCACAGGATGAGATGGGTGCAGAGAGCGCAAACCAATGTCCCTGTACAGTTGTTTTCTTATGTTTGAAAGATTATGGAGATTGGGGGAGGTCTCCAAAGATGGCAGAAAAATTGTTTCACCCATCTTCAAATGAAAGGATGATGTGGGGAGCGATACCTCTGGGCACATGAATGCTGTGTCTTAGACAGTATTGTTATTTCCATGTTCAGCCATTATAGTTTGGTTGAATGTAAAAATACAGGGATAGAATGCTGGTTAGGTGGTTGGAGTCTTAGGGCAGTGGTAAATGGCATGTACTCTACCCAGAGACCTGGGGAAAGCAGAATGTCACCGGAACCTGTTCTGTTAAACATCTTTATCCATGATTTGGAGGAGGTGCAAGAGTGTATGCTCAGCAGGTTTGCTTCAGGGAAAAGTCAAGACACTTGAGGGCAGGTTCAGATGGACCAAAATGAGATGGAGAAATGATTGACAAGAACCTCATGAAATTCAGCAGGGGCACAAGCAGAGTCTTGTCTCTGGGACTGAGTAACCACCTGCACTGGCACAGGCTGGGGGTTGACTGGCTAGGCAAGTAGTTCTGCTGGAATAGACCTGGGAGTCCTGGCAGAGAGCAAGCTGAGCATGGGCTGACAGCTTCCTGGGCTGTTTTAACGGGAGCGCAGCAAGTTAAGTAAGAGGACAGTGATAATCCCCATCTAATCAGTGCAAGTTATACCAAATATAGACACTACATCCAGTTTGCAGGCCCCCATTACAGTAAAGGCATATAAACTGGACTGAGTTCAGCAGAGGGGCCACCAAGATGGTCAGGGGCAGAAGCAGAGGCCCTGTGAGGAAAGGCTGAGGGAATGGAGCTTGTTCAGCCTCCAGAAGAGATGGCCTCATGGGTACCTAACAGCACCCTCAGTAGCTATGGGACGGTTATTGAACCCAGGCTCAATAACCATCCCATAACCGGCGGAGATCGAGCAAGGCTCTGCAGTGATGCATGGCTGGAAGACAGGAGACAATGAATGTCTGGATATACAGAGAAGCCCTTTCCCCATGAAGGCAGTCAGACAGTGGAACAGGCTGTGCAGAAAGGATTATGCTGTCTCCCTTGGGCACTTTCACACCAATCTGACAAAGCCCTGAGCAATGAAGTCAGTGTTCATGACTGACTCCTATAAGACTAGAGACCACCCTTCCAACCTCCATGATTCTGTGATCCAAGTATAATATATTCTCTTTGTTGGAATGTGGAATAGAGTGTTTGTTTCTAGAAATCTTCTACTAATAAGGTATTTTGTCCTAGCTTTCTGCAAGTGTTAGGGAATCACGTAATGTGGAAGGATGACATTTGGATGGAGAAAAATGATGTGAAAACTTAGATAGTAGTATGAGTCATGTCTAATTAAGAATGATGTATTAGATATGTCCTTCTGAAGAGGTTCAGAATGTAAACAACATTAAATGTTATCAGGAACTCAGAGTTTAAAAGTTTGGATCATTCTGAAAAATACCAGCTCAATTAAAAACAGAGCTTTTTTTTTTTTTTTTGCACTTAAAACATTTGCTTAACTGATGTCAGAATTTAGACAGCTACTGACCAAAGAGTTCAAGAGATTTTCCAGCCAGTTAGTTTTTTGTACTTGTTACCACATGTGAATTAACTGCAGGATGAATACTGCTATCCCATAAAAGCAGAGTATGTGGTAATACATTAATATGTTGAATGACATGAAATATGGCTCATCTCAGTGCATCAGCCATCAGTTTTTATTTATTTCAGAACTGAACAGGAATATTTGAGAGTGCATGTGGGAAGCAATACTTGGGTTGAAATGCCTTGCCTAATCATGAAATTGGTGGTATTAAAAGATAAAGTATAAAGAATGATCATTATGTTTGAAGCATCAGCAGTAAGAAAAGCTTTCAGACTCATGAACACAAGGGAAAATCTCTGCCCGGAATACAGCGTAATTGACATCTTCAAACCATAATATTTTAATGTCAATTGAGGGAATGAAATGCCAACAACTTAGAAGTAGCAAATGGCTGTGTAACTGGATAGATGGTGGTTATACAGATATACTACAGCAGGTGTGAGCAGTTTGGGAGTGGATTTGGTGAAGATTTGAAAAACCTGTCATTGTTCAAGATGTTACTTAAACTTTTATGCAGAAGGTGTTAGAGAAACACATTCAGAATTGCTTGCCGTGATAGTGTGGCTTCATTGCACAGGGTTTGACCGTACCAGTTTCCTCCCTTCCTTTCCATAGCAATCATTCACAGACCACACTGGCTTGCAGAAGTAGTGAGAAAAGGCTGTTTCCTGTATGCCATATGCATAGAAATATAGCTTTTATTCAATGAAATTTAGGTGAATTATTTTTTTCATTCTTATTACATACATGAACTAAGATTAAATTTCCTGTGATAAACCAAAACTGCACCAGTAAATACACTCTGGTTGTACATTTCCAACTAAGTTTACTCTTCTTCTTCTCAACGTGATATTTTCTCTTTTTTTTCCCCGTTTTAAATTTTGTCTAAGAAGCCTGGTTTTGTCAGAAGGTGCAAGAATTGTTAACAGTAAGAATGAAAAATGTGTATTAAAATTATTCAGATAGTCCCATTTTACTAAAAAAATGCAAACAAACCTAGGCCCATAGAATTGAGTGTATGAAGCTCAACACAAAATATTTTTAATTGTATTTAAAAAAAAAAAAAAAGGATGCCTTAAAATTAAAATCTCTTGATAATCATTTTGGCACATTTGCAGTTTTAAGACTGGAATAGGTATTGATTTCCATTTGCTAACTCTTTTTTTTTTTTTTTTTTTAAAGAAGCAGCCTATGAATATGATCTAAAATGGATACTTAATTGCCCTATATAGCTTTGTAAGAGGAACTCAATGTATATGTACTTTTAACATAGTAACCTTGCATTACTGCTTCATGTTCTCTCTTTTCATCTCTTCGGTATATAGATGTGTTTGTGTACAAAAGCTGTTTATTTGGGCTTCCATGCTTTTTTCGCTCAGTTACTCTCCCAATTTCTCCACTGGAGAAGCACTCCAGGAGAGAGAAATGAAAATACAGTTAGGCACTTTAAGTGATTTCTTAGATTCAGTCTCTTCATATAATATTGGTGACTCTCTGTTCTATGTATGTAGCAATTTCTATACTATATTACAGTGACTTTAAAAAATTTCAGACTTCTCCCAAGTAAAAATGAGGTGTGTGTGTATATATATATATATATATATGTACATACTATAAACAGAGATAACTGAAACAAAACTATGCTTCTATTTACATTATGAAATATGTTTCTTCGGGAGAGGAGGGAAAAGAATACATTCTCTTCTGTGTGCTTTCCATGCAATGAATTGCACTGTGATCATAAATTACCACTGATACTGATGGTGATTAATACAGAGGTGATATTTAAGTTCATGTATCAAAACATGTAAATTTTAAAGTGGGTGTAACAGGAATTTAAATTATCAGAACTCAAGGCAAGAACTTTATTTAATACGTATTTTTAAATAGTTCTGTTAATTTTTTCTTGACATGCACAACTTGATAAATTATTACATCTTCCTATCCAATGCATCCATGTAGTGATGCTATTAGGGCAGTGTATCTTAGGTTACCAGTACAGCAGTGTCACGATTTGATTGATGGAAAGGGAAACAAAAAGGTGCAAGCTTGAACTCGGCCATCTCTGAATTTTCAGAAAGCATTAGAACAAAGCTGTCAGCAATAGAAATGGTCTTTCATATATTTATGTAGTTTATTAATGAGTTATCTATAGGGTAATTCAAAAGGGACTTCTCTTCCCACCCCTCCTGCACTGTTTTCAGGCACCTTAGTTTTGTGGAGCAATCTGATGTAGGCTTTTGAAGTCTTGAATTCACTGGCTAATTTTGTGGTGTGGTACAGACTACTGTTCTGTAGCCACCAATCAGAATAATAACAAAACCCAAACCAAAAAAAGTCATCCAGGCTTCAGTGCAATTTGAACTCTCTTTAAGAGCTGCATCCTCCAGAAATGAAACAGATGTCTGTCCTGCTTGCTGTAGCAGATAAGCAGCTTACATCTTGGTCCGAGATGTCAAAATAGTGTTTGATAGAATAAAATTTGGCAGAGCTTTGCCTTGCCAGAGAAGAGAAAGTTTCTGGTGGGAGACTTTGGAAAGCTGACAAATTCTTGGTCTGACTGCTGAAGTTCCTACTGCTCCAAGTGTATAAGGAAGAAACTGACAGTTTTTATGAAGTAACTGCATGTCACCTGTTACCGTACTTTTCTTGACATCCATGGATCAGAAGCAACACGGACTTTGGCATTAAAACTTATTAACTAACAAAATAGCAAGTAATGAACAGCCAGTGGTATCCATGGCAAATGAGTAGATCCTCTGCTGAGGACTGTAGCTAGGGAAATTAAAAAACCTCACATAAGTAATAACAATTGTTCTGGTCAGGAATCTCCACAATGCATCTGTTAAAGTCTTATTTTGACAGCTGTCAGATGCAGGAGGGGGTCCAAGGCACTCCTAACAGTTTGTTAGCTTCTCAAGCACAGCAAGGTGAAAAATCAGTTGTGGTCACAAAGATTCCTACTGGGACGACAACTGAACTTCCTTCAGCACAGTCACAAACCATAACCTTATTTACTGCATTACTGAAGTTTTTGGTAGTGACTCAAGCTGGAACAGTGTAGGAAATTGAATCCATTTCACTTGAAAGCTCTAGGGGGCAGTGAGATAAAATGTAAAGAAAGAAAACAGTTGTCCTGTTTTCTACTTGCAGTGTAAATAATTGCATTCCCTGTGACAAAGAAATCTAAGCAACGTCATAAAAAATGGAGAGAGGGGACATTTGTTTAAAAACTTCAGATTACATTGATCCTCAGAGCATCACTGCTACAGCTGAGATACCGTGCCATCACGACTAGCCAGCTAGTCACCCAACAGGGCATTCTGTCCCAGAACAAGGTAACAGAATTGTGTCTTTGGTAAGATTTGCCTGTTTGTATGCTCCAGATACCCTGATAAATGAGATTGGATAATGGTCTGTACTGGAAGCTGAAACCTGCCAGGTAACCATTTCAGTATTTCTTGGGGCACACTGTCCCTGAGGGCAGAAAGATTGCCTAGAGAGAGTTGTAACTGGCCATGATTCTGAAACCAGAACTAAGGTGGACCTGGCCAGAATGGATGGAAGCTCTGTGAGCTCCATGTAGAGTCCACGACTCCAGTAGTGAAGTAGAAGACTTCGGCAGAGTTGAAAGTTGTCCTTTCTTTGTATAAATTCTTAAGGTTATGAGCAGTGATGAAAAGATTACCTCTAAGTGAATCTTGTGTTGGTGCAGCTGTCCTTAAGGTTGCATAAACCTACCAAGTGCAATGTATATCACATACTCTGCTTGTATGGGATTTCTCTTTTCTAACCATTTCACAACTGTCAAATTTTGTAAATGACATGCTGTAGTTGATTTATTCTTAACTTCATGGCTAATTTTGGCAAGAAGTTTTAGGTTTTTGATGTTTTTTCAGTCTCTCAGAAGTTACTGGTATTTTCCCAGGTATTTGCAAGAACTGTTGCTTGTTGTTCGACTTAAATACCCTAACACTTCCAAACAGTATTTTGCCTTACTTGACTACTTCTGGATTACTTGCTGCAAGTTAGTGGCTTTTACTAGTGTTTTTTCAGGAGTCTGTTGCTGATAAATCAAATTCAAAGCTATTAGTTTAGTAAGTTTGAACATTATTGTAGGAGCAAAGATATCTTTCTCAGGGAGTTCAGTGGCTTTCTGAGAGTTAAAGGTCCTGCACTGGCTCTTTAGCTTTGAAAAAATATATTTTTTACAGCATGCTGATAGTCTACAAAAAATTAAGTTAACGTAAGAAGGATGCGGACCTGCTTGAGCAAGTCCAGATGATCTAGTTTGATCCCGTTAGGCAATTCGTAAGCATCTTAATTTAACTTTGTGAATATTCACTTACTCTGATCTTCCTTTGGAGTTCAAGACTAAACAGGTAAGTGTGTAATAATTGAGCATGCAGCTCATGGTGAAAACTTTGAAATTGTGTTCATAAATCCTCCCTCGGTGGACTTTTTTCCTGGATATTTGTGATTAGTAGGCAGTTTTATGAAGGTGAATACTTCTAGTTCATATAAAAATTATTATTGTATCACAGATATGCCGAGTAGAGGCTTCTATTAGCAGTGTTCCTTTGTGGACAGTAACTTACCTGACTAGGTAACTGTAACATCAGCCAAAACCACAGTAACTTATATAAAGTGTCTTGCAATTTTTCACATTTAAAGTTGACCAATATGAAAAATGGTCAAATATTCTCAGTAACAGAACAAGGTAGAATGGCTTTAAACTGAAAGAGGGTAGATTTAGATTATATCTATATATGAGGAAGAAGTTCTTTACCATGAGGGTGCTGAGGCACTGGCACAGGTTGCCTAGATAACTTGTGGCTGCCCCCATCCCTGGCAGTGTCCAAGGCCAGGTTGGACGGGGATTGGAGCAACCTGGTCTAGTGGAAGGTGTTGCTACCCATGGGAGGGGGTTGAAACTGAAAGAGCTTTAAGATCCAATCCAACCCAAACTATTCTGTGATTCTATGACATTGGTTATTTGGCATTAGTCCCAAATTAATTTATAATTCAGTCTTTACTTTCAGTAGTAAATTTTTAATACTTCAAGAGTTCTGAAAGGAAATGCCAGTCAGTTGATAGATATCTATTTTCTGATTTAATAAATATAATTCTTTGAATTGGATTAGTCCAGGTAATTTGTATAAAAAATTTTTGACATAGTACTATACTTTCAGTGATTGATGACCAAGTGTCAATGTATCTGTAAGGTACCACAATAGTGCTTGTTTGATATTCTGCCGTTGTTCCACACAAAGGGAAAGAACTACTGTATTCTGCATGAGAATTGTTTTTTTTTTAAATAATGTATTCTTACAGTACTTTTTATTTTTTAAGTTCTGTAAGAATATATAAATTCTCTTCAAAAAAACCCAAAACCGTGTATAACTAAAATATGCTGTAAAATCCTAATTTCTTTGCTAAATATTTCATGGAATTTATTTTCTAAAAAAGCAAAATTAGATATGTTATGTGAAATAAGCCATTAGATCATGTTCATAAATTAGTGAAATCCTCACCTTATGGAATGCAACAGAAACTTTTCCATTATCTTAATTGAGACAAGACATTCATCCCACATGCAGAGTCTCTGTATAAATCACATAAGTTTAATCTTCTGTTCACAGAATTAAGTCTCAGTCTCTGAGAGGGAATAGGGGCATTAACAGTATAAACAGCACCAACATTCATTCTTAATTATTTCGTCAAAACTTACAGCTGCTGTCCGGTCCACCTCACAGCGGCTACTCAGAATGAAACATGCTTCTGCATCATCCATTCTAGAAGAGGGGAAACAAGCCTGTTACTTACCAGTAAAATACTTATGTGTAATTGTGTTTCACAGTTTATAGTCTTGTATGCTTATAGAAATAGAATATAAAGTTTAGTCTATCTGTTTTCACTCATTATCTGAATGTCAGTAGCAGACACCCTGTACACTAACTCATAGTGTGTACCAGTACTTCTTGACTAGGTTCTAGGAGACTTACTTCCCCTTGTGCCAGTAGAAGCTGTGCCAAAATAATAAAAGCAGAGTGGCCTCAAATACACTTAATTTTCAAAATAAATATTTATCTTCCATAAGTATAAAAGGTGAATAAATAGCACCAGTCTACATAGTGTGTAAGGATATGATATGTTCAAGTTACTGATAAAAATAAATGAGAGGAGGCAGATAATACAGACTTATCTTGCCTAATGATAGTAGAAAGATGGGTAGATATACTGGAATAATGCATTTGGGGTAAATAACAAACATCTTTGTGTATTAAATGAATTATCTATTTTCAGTTCATGGTCTCTTTGAGAACTTTTAATGTCTAATTGTCCCCTAGTGGATATAACTGGTCATGTAATAAGAAGAGTAGTGGTGAAAGTGTGGAGAAAAATTGACTGAAGATTTCATCAAAGTGTACTTTTCTTCTCTTGCCTCAGATATTGATATCCTCCAGTGAATCCTACTTCCCCTGGTTGAATCCTACTTGGTTGACCTCCTTCGGAAGACAGGACTTTCTGGGCAAAGAGAAACGATGATCAGAATGGGTTTCCTGGGCAGGGAAAAAGTGAGACAGAAGCTGGGGAAAATGAAAAGCCAATTCAGTGCCAATTACACCAATTCCATTCTGGGATCTGGAATGGGACCTGAGATTCCTAAATCCTTCATTTCTTTGCTGCTAGAAAATGGAATTGGTGGTTGTTAGTAACAGGTTAGGACATTGGGACTCTAGGCTTAGACTAATGGTCCATTTTTTTAGGTACTGTAAAAATGCAGAACAAAAAGTCCTTGCCATATAAGATGGCATATAAATGTCACAGCAAAGTATAATGAAAGTATATGCAAACATGGGAAACAGGAAGAAATGTGTGACAATACCTGAATATAAAAATATAAAAGAAGTAGAAAGTGGTCTCACTGGATACCAGAGTAGAGAACCAACTGAAGAGAAGATGCGATGGAGAATACTGGAATTACTTTACAGACGTTTCTGAGAAATTCATCCTAGATGGAAGGGACAGCATGGTTGAAATCACAGTGGGACTTGTACGTTAATCTGTTGTATGTGTGAAAGAGAGTAGCATTATAGACTTACTAGGTTACCTCTCAGAACTGGGAGTTGCAGGCTAAGAATAAGGAGTTACTCCTTGATGCAATAAAGAAAGGTAAGCCAGGGAAGGACTGCAGAGAGGCAAAGTGATGTACTACATAAATAATGTCTCCAGAACCTTCTGAAAAACAGGGTTTGGAGAGTTGAGATTATAAATATCAAGAACAGAAACATAAGTGGGGCAAAAATGAACTTGTGTGAGGAAACACAAGATGCAGTCTCTGTCTACATAGGATGCTCAGCAATATTGTACCAAGCTTATGATTCACAGTAGGATACAGGTTTTATTTTGGTAGCAAAAATTAAGATCTGTTTACATCTGTCTGCATCTAAACTAAAGCTGATGATGAACGGATATCCATAATGAGATGTCAGATAGCTTGGCCAACCTTTCAGGTTTTGACTGTAGAAATAGTGATTAAATTTGTGAGTTTTCTGTGAAATCATTCACAGAAAGTATAAAGAAAAGAGACACATAAAGTCAGATCACTGTAGATTCCACATAGGCACATAGCAGTAAGAAAATAGAGAAAATCTCAAAAGATTAAAGTACTTGAAAAGGAAAAATCATTGTAACAAAGGCAAATCAATATATCCAAAAAAGTAATGTCAAATGTAGCTGATGTAGAGAAGTGGGGACAGGGCTTCTGCGTGCTGATTAGGAAGAAATCATGGGAGTTCTATGAATAGTTTCAGCTAAGCATGAGAGCTGAATTGGAAGAAAAGGTCTTTAACAAGCTTGTAAGAAAGAAAATTCAGTGAATTTAGATGGGATTTTGATGAAAGCTGAAGAGGTATCTGGAGTGACAATATATATAGATAACTTTGTAAGAAAATTAGATTTCATTTGAACATATTCACCTTTTCTCCCCACTGTTTTGTTTTTTGTTTTTTGTTTTTTTTATAACTTTTAGAATCATTTCAGCACAGATGACAAGGATAAGAACCCAAGAGTAACATCTATGTATGTCATGAATTAGGACAATAGGAACACTACTAACATCTGTATTTAAAAAATTAAGGACAACCCAGAGTATCCTTCTGAGAGGAGCATTATTAATGTCCTAACAACTGGAAAAGCTTTGTCAATTACACCATTTTTATGTGCTGGAAAACTGAATCTGACACAAAAAAAAAAAAAAAACAGTAGTTCCACTGCTTGAAGATGACAGAAATTAAAATGAGCTAATATATTGCAGAGAAATTTCTGAAAGAAAATGTTTAAGGTAAAGAGTGGAGAAGAAAAGGATTAAGAAGATTTATGGATAGTTCACTAAAAAAAAGTAGGAGGAGAGAGAAAAAGTATTTGAAATCCTGACAGATCACGGGAGAAAGCTGCAGGGGAAAGAAGTCAAGCATGGTGGTGTTATTCGCTTTCTAGTGCTAGTCTGCATGGAAAATGACAGCTGTTTTAATCAGTTCCCATGTTGCTTCAAATGCTGAAGTAGCTATAATGTTTCCTGTCATGCTGATGAACAATGTTAAGTATCAGAGTGATACCTCATGATGGAATTAATTTTGGTTTTTTGTTAAAGCTGGGCACGTGAACACAGTTTAGAGAACACCAAGAATTTGCAAAATGACACCCTCAAAGGTAGGAAGCAAGAATGAATATCGCTTTTGTAAACTCAAATTGTGTACTAGGGCATATAAAGAAAAATACAATCTTAGATAATTATTTACTACTTATTGCAGTCAGCCAACTTTTGGTATTCCTTTAGTTTTTGGTGTGACTTTTATCATGTTATTTTGAGACTGCATTTCTCTTATATGTATGACATTTTCATAATTAGACACTTCTTAGGTTTGGGGTTTCTTTTTAGTAACCATTATTTTATTTATTAGAAGAAGTTTACCATGTGCCTTGTTATTTTCTCAGTACATTATGTTCTTATTAAAAAGAAATACAGGAAACATCTTAGGTACTGGGTTGTATTTCATATTAAATTTTCTATTAAATTCCCACTATGCTTCTTCCCTCAGGAAAGGTTGAAAATTATTCTGTGACAGGTACATTCAATTACATGTTCTGCAGGAAAAAGCACAGTTCCACAGTTGACTACCTCCAGGTTATTATAAGCTAAATTCTTTATGGAACAGCCTAATTGTTCTGCTCCTAATGTGTAGAACAAATGCCAGCTACATCCCCACATAGATTCCTTCTTGAAATCAGCAAGAAAGCAGAAAGAGGAACCACTCTCTAAAAGAAAATTCCTAATCCTGAAAAAAAGCTTTATTGTATTTCAAATTTTGAGGGTTTTTTCAGTGGCAGAAATTTGAGAACACTGCTCACTAGATTTCTCACAGATTAGTATCTTGGAAATAACTCCCCTGTGGGGTAAAGAAGACTGAATGACACAAATAGTCAACCTTAATTTAGGTATCTATATTAGTTGCTTCTTATAAAGAGCAATGCAGGTAAGTTAAATCAGTTATCTGCTAAGAACCACCTTTCTCTCTTGTTGGAGAGTTTAAAGAGACACCCCACCTACATGAATTCCACTGTGAATTCCTTCACACCTTCAAGTGATTGAGCAATGTGGGGGGGAAGCAACTGTGTTTGATTGATGTGTTTTGATTAATGTCATTCACTGTTAACTGGCAGAGAGGATTTTTTAGAAGTGGTTGGAAGTATGTGATAAGAGGAAGGCCCTGAAAGAAGAGTATAGGGAGGTATAGTAGAGTAGTTGCTTATACTAACAGGCTGAACTTGGGAAGGAAAAAAATCTCTGCAATGGGTTCAAAGTGTGATAATTATTTTTGTTTGCTTTTTTTTTCCCTTCAGTTGGTCAGGAGAACTACCATCACACTTCCCATTTTTGCTGAAGGAAGAGAAATAAGTTCTGTCATTACTGGCGGTTTTGGAATTTTCTGAGCTGCTTTCTCAGAAGAAATCATAGGCACTCTGTTTCAACACTTTCAAAAACTGAGACCAAAAAAAAGTGAGGAGGAAGAATTTTGTTAAATGAAAGAGCCTAAAAAAATATTTGTTCCTTGAAAAATTTCAGATATTAAGGAAAACCAATTATATCAGAGCTTTGCTTTCTAAATACACATGCTTTTCTTTTAGCACAGCTTTTGGTTTTTTGTCAAAATTATTTATCAAACAGTATGAGTGAAACAAAGTAAAAAACAATATTGGTCAATATTTGCCTACTTAGCTCTCAACAGGTCTTGATCTTTTAGTGCTGAGCCTTGCAGATAGATAACTCTTTGGGACCACATTGGAATTTGTAATACCCTTCGGACCTGAGCATCCATCTCAGTAGGACACAAAATAACGACATAATAGTCCTGTCAAAAACATAAGGGGGAATAGTCATGTTATTTTATTATGTTACTATTTATTGTTGCTAGAGAATGAGTCAACAGAGACCCAGGATGTCAACAGAGTCTCTGATAATTCTCAAATTTAATTGACAATAGTTATTTGAATACTTGTGTTTAAAATATTGAATTCTTTAATGAAAATGGCTGGACAGTTGTCAGCTGCTCTCAGAAGACTCCAGGGTGGCAAGTGAAGTACATTTAGAAACATTTTTTGTTTCCATATGAGCACAATTGGGGTTTTTTTTGAGACAGTTTATATTTCTGTTATTCTAGCTGGTATGATCAAAATGGAATTGTCTTCCCCCATTTTTTTTCTCTACATTAAGGGTCAGATCCAAACTCTGTTTCCTGTGCAACGAACAGTCCTTGTTAGGAAAAGTACTGTTGCTCTGAAGTATACATGTGTGTACATAGAAAAAGGATACATAAATAGAACATGAGGGGAGAGACTCAGAGCTTAGGACAGGCTTGTCATAGAAGCCTTCCTTAGCATGCACAGACTTGGAGAAAGCTTAGTGCTTAGTGGATCCAGCGTGTCATCTGTGTCCTTCAGCTTCACATTTCAGCTGTGAAGAAAATGTATGTAACCTTTGTTATGCCACATAACTAGTGTTAGGACTTTTCTTCTTCATCTCCAGTGTATAACAGGGCCTAACTCATTCTTCAGGATAGTTAAGTTTTGGATTTCAATTTGTGTTTGCATCTATAAAGAACTGGATTTCTTTATGCATTTGCTTATGCCTCTTACTAGGTAATTATTTTGGAGAATATTTTGGATTTGGTATTTGTCAAGTTGCTGCTTAGCAATTTGAGAGTTGTATTTTTGTGATTTTCTTGCACTATTTAATGAAGCATGGTACCACAGGTAACTTAATAAAAGGCATAGAGAAGATTTAGTGAAAGAAATGGTCTGTAGCTAAGCTAATGGTAGTGAGTCCAAATTATTATCTCAAATAAATAAGCTTTTATATGATAAAAAAAAGTCATATGACAAGTTTGCATTAGCTAGGGAATACGTGCACACTGAGAAAATCTCATGTGTAATCTTTCAAGGCCTTTGTCCTGTGAAGTACATCTATTTATTTCTCAATTTCAACAATTCCAAAAGTATCTAATCTTCCTAACACTGGCAAAAGACAAAGCAAAATGCAAAGACTAAAAGATGCTTAGAATTGTGAAGAGTTTTGGATCCAGTCACAAAACAACAGGAAAAAATAATTAGAGTAGTTTTCATTTATTTTCTATTTTGGGGTAGAAAATAAGGAATTTGCATGGAAATCTCTGTCTCTAAAAGGACTGGCATAATTCAACAAGACATTAATTCCATCTATTTAGTTTGTTTACCTCAATTTAAAATTAATGTCTCCATACTTTATATCAGGTTCTTATTGCAATTATAGATTCCCAATTCAATCAGCTAGTCCCAAATTCAGTTTTACAAATTAAAAACTCTTTCAGAAGGCTGTCCAGAAAATCAGTGGTTTGAGTTAATCTTCTTTTTGTTGGTTTTTTTTTTTTCCACTATAAGTACCTGCAATCTGGGGTGAGCATAGAATTCATTTAAGAAATCCATAAGTAAGTCAATCTTCAGAGAGCTAACACAGAGCACAACATGTTTTTCCGTCTGAGCTCTGTGTCGACTGTAGTTACCACCGGACTTTTGTCTCTCCATCCACAAATATGCCAGCTGTTCAAACTGCAAGAGATGCCAATTGTCAGTGCAATACAGACAAGCAGATGTGAAGTACAACTGTATCATGACTTAACAATGTTGCATTGTTCATCTCATGCCTCTATGAAAGGCTGCTCTTAGCCCACAATGTCTTTTTCTTTGTGAAAAGGTCTCTAGTAAGTGGGTGAGATGAATAACAGGGTGCTTAAAAAACATGGCAGAAGAGCCACTCTACCACACACACAGAAGTGGGTTAAACCCATTAAAATATCATGAGATTACAGTAGATCTCAAGATTTTAGAAAATAAGGAAGGCTGTACCTTATTCTTCTATGTGTTATACCTCTGAACTCTCTTTTTCCAGCACCATGTGACATAAATGCTACCCTCAAAAGAAAAGTTAAATTTTCACCCACTTAAATCTATACTGTGGGTACAGATACTCGCATAGAAGTACCATTTTACTTAGTTCGGCCACTAACTCTTCTCACAGGTTTTAAAATGTTCTTAAGGTGACATTCTGTATATTCTATTTGTGTTATAAATTTAGATATAACTTAAGATGCACAGCAGTTGTTAATACAGCAAATTTGCCATTGCCAGCTGAACAATAGATACAGGCTAGCAGTAAATATTGTTCTACTAGTCTGAATCCCTGAAAGGGAATACTTTGTAAGTGTCATTGTAATAATCTGTAATAAAACATACAAACACAATTTCAAATTGTATTGTAAGTAATATGCATTTAATGCTAAGCTCGATTTAACTATGTATGTGTGATAGATGCTTTTTCTCATCCACATTCAACTGATGGGGAGACTGAATCGTGAATAATGATTTAATATCATAGGACACAAGCTCAGGAGAGAATGCCTCCCACATATTCTGTGTATGGAAAACTATACAAAGCCCCATTATCATAACAAAGCTATAAAATAAAGTACCTAATAATAGGTAAATTTTGTGAAAGGGCAATGGATTCCAGGTTTTTTTACTGGTAATGCAGAGCTCTTATGCCTGAAGTTTATATCGGAACTACCTGAAAGATGAAATTTCTGTTTCCTAGGAAATTCCAAATTTCTTAAAGGGTATTTTAGTTTTCAACAGAATATATATTTTACTAAATTTCCACCAAGTGGGAATATAATTGTGTTAGTACATACGTCTGCATATGCATACATTAAATATTTAGGTATAATTAAAATGTTCAAATAATTTCAAGAAAATTAATGCTCAAAATTTCAGCTTCCAGCCTTCCAGGTCTTCTGTGTCGTCTGCTCACAGTGAGCTTTAGTTCACTGTCGAAGCGGAGTCTGGAAACTATGGCTGTACGGAAAAAATTTTGAGCTTCATCATCTAGCAGATCCACTCTAAGCTTTGATAAGCATGCACAATGTCTCCCCACATCCCCTTTTTTGTGGCAGGAGGTCTGGGTGATGACCAAGCATGGAACAGTTAACAACTTGGCAGGGCTTCCCACGTAATTTCAGGGTTTCTGTCACAAAGCCTCACCTAATGAGCTTGGAAATGTCTGGTACAAATTTAATGAAACCGGTTGACTCCTTGAAATACTTGGATTTTCATAAATCTGCCTTTTCCTGTTGAAACTGTTGGAAGTCCTAAACTTAAGTAGGCATGAAAAATTCCTAACTGTTCTGTTGGCTCTGTGTGTGTGTTGTACCGACATACACAGCTGTGAACCCAATTTGCTTGAGTTGCAGATTTAATGAGATTTTTTTCATGTTAGCACAGAGCTGTAAGAGTAAGAGAGGAAGTGGAGAGAACCACGATTAGAAACAGGGAGAGCCTGCAGAGGAAATGCTATGTTCATAATGAAAGTGCTGGCTACTGTTGTTTTTTGGTTTTGTTTTGTTTTTAATTGCTCCATTAATAACAAACCCATATTTCAGGATGAAGGAAGGGCTCTGTGGTACATGACAGAAACAGAAAGCTTTCTCCAGCACTTGAAAACTGTTATTAGTGCTCCGTTTTATAGCATAAAGGTATACTATAGGAGAACAGACAAAGGAAAAAGGAAAGAAAAAAGAAAGACACAGAATAGGAGGTGTAGAAGAGATAGTTATTTTTTCTGATATTATATGTGCAATAATAATAGCAACAATAAATAATTCCAGTTATTCTTTTGTTTTAAAAACAATCCGAAAGAGAAAAAAAAATAATCCAAATTTACCTGTATGGGCAACACCACAAGAGCCACACAGATCATAATGACAACAAGCAGCTTTGAAGGCCATATCTTGGGTGTGACATCCCCAAAGCCCACAGTGGAAAATGTCACTATGCAGAAATAAAGGGAGTCAAAGAGAGTCAACCTGTTTCCTGCTCGTTCCAGATGCTGAATTCCACAAATACTATGTAGAAAAGAATGAATAAAGACATGAAAAATAATAACTGTACTTAGGGTCAGTTCAAGTTTGGTGATTATATGTGCAGAGAACTAGTTATTTTCAAAATTCACGGATTGCTCAGCAAAGACATTTTTTCAGAGTAAAAATTAGTATCAAACCAGAAATGTTATTAATATGATTCTCAAATGTCATTTGTGATGAAAGAAAGCAATTTTTTAATTATTTCAATATCATAGTCACAACTTTCCTGCTAGGTTTTGCTTAGTGGCTGTTGTGAGGGAGAGGTGGTATACAGAACATCATGAATTAATGCAATTCCTTTCTAAACCAGAACAAAACATGCTATATAGATGCCACCATTCAGAATTGTTTATAAACGTCTTCTAACTTTTTTAGGGAGAGCTTGCTGGTATGGCCAAGAAAACATACACACTGCTTTGTTTAAATCTGTTCCTCTCTCTGTTAGTTTCTATCTTTTTCTGTGGCTAGAGTTACTAGCATGAACTAGTTACGAGAGTACATGTTGCATACTAGAAGGATAATGTTCACATAAATAGGTACTGACTGTCTAGAATAAACTGAATGTGAGAATTGCAGGCTATCAAATCATCAGAGGAATAAGTATCGAGGGTCAGTCTTCAAGTAGAAGGTGGAAGATGCCAATGGGTACTAAGATTCTGCTTGCTAAAAGTACAGAATAAAAATGTAAGGCTTGGTTGTCTTTGATCACAGAATTAATTAAGTTAATTTCTTCCAGTCACACACTCCCGTGAACAAGTAAATGGTAGCCCAGGTTAACTGGTAATTATTTCTCTTGTAATCAGCATGACGTGCTTCTGGTTTTGCGAAGTAGCAGAATCTGTCCACAGGTCTAACTGCTACTTCATATGTTGCAGATTTTTCAATAAATAGAATAATAATATTTCAATTAAGAGCTTCCCAAACTTAAAATGTGACCTTCCTTAATACAGTACAATTACTTGGACCAGGTTAGGCTTTTAAATTATATTCACCTCTATGAAGAAAACAGATTTGTGAACCACCCTGAACAGTGTAGTGGAATGATTTCTTCACAGAGAATTAAGAGAAATAATTGATAAATAATATCTTGTTCTCTAGTAATTATTCTAGAACATGCCAAAAAATTATTTCTACATGTATGGTATCCAGATGGTAATAGTCACTCATTAATACCCTCCATGGTAAGATCTTTGCATCACCAGGGAGACCCTGTGTTTATAACAGCTTTAGCAGTTGTTCTTCTGTTCTCTCTTCTGTTCTCCAAAAATAATTTAGCTGTAGGCAGTGGCATTTCCAGAACATATGGATCAAATTCCCAGTTTCCTTTTCACAGTTCTAGCATTTGTAGTTTTCACACATCTCAAAATGTTCTAAAAAGGGTGGAGTTTTTTCCCCGTTGTTTGCATAAGTTAGATACTTCAGTCAGAAGTGGTAATTTTATATTCCTATCCTATTGTCCCACATTTTTCAGTGGAGTTGTAATCTAGATCAGCCATTATTTCACTATTTCCCAGTCTGGGCAGGGGGGAAGAGTTACTTGGTTTTGGGTGTTCTGTGGTTTTGGTTGGTTGGGTTTGGGTTTTTGATTTTGGGTTTGCAGATCCTATGGGAGTTGGGTGGGGTTTTTTTGTTTTTTTTTGGGGGGGGGGGGAGGGGATTGTGGGGGTTTATTGTTCTGGTTTTGTTTTTTTTGTTTTGTTGTTATTGTCTTAGATTATTTATTTATTTAATTACAAAAATTAGAATTAGATTTTTGTCCCTGAAAATATTAACAGCAGGACTGTAAGGAATTACACTAATTAAGCTCTTTTTGGTCTCAGCTAAATAATTTTCCAGTGTTTATTTGAAATAATGGAGTATACTGAAGAGGCATCCAAATATGGAAAAAGGAGCTATCTTAATACTGTTCTTCATGTAAGTTATATGTAATTTTAAAAGCAGAATGGTGACGGATTTCTAATTCTTCATTGTTATTATTCGTGATGACCTTAGTTCATTTTCTTCTCTTTAGTTGTCTTTTGTTGGGTACATCTCTAAAACACATGACCTTGACTTCAGAAGTTAAGGTCACATGGGGCAGGAAAGTAGCAATTACACTGAACCACTGATATGGCTCCTACACAACAGGGCTATTATACCACTCCACTAAGTGTGTTAAATACATGCAGATGGGTTGTATTGAAGCATAATGCATGATCCTATCATTGGTAGGAATGTATTTTTCTGATGCTGGTGCCTGTGAAATTGAATAGTATTTGTACATGCAAAAGGATCAATTTTACCCTTTGTATTTGACAGGTTGGATTAAAATTTAAAATAAATCTAGTAGCCTAGAGCTTTTTAAAATTTTCTAGGAATCAGAGATGCTTCTTTACTTTTTGTTCTTTTTGTAAAACCTTAAAAAAAATAATAGTTTGCTGGTAGGAAGACTCAAGCCTTGATGAAGGAGGTATTTTCTTTATTCTTCTTCATGAGCTTTCTGTAGCCAGCCCACCCAATCATACTTTAGCTTAACTGAAATAAGTTAATATATCCTGAACCATTTCAGCCTTTTCTAAGTGAACAGTAAAATTCCCACTGAATTTAGTGAGACCAAGATTTCATCAACTGTACTCCCTTATAGTCCTATATATTCCTATTCCTTGAAGCCATCAAAATAATTCTGTGCCTGATCCAAAATGTTGTGGATTCAAGCTGTTTCTGATTGAACTCAGTGGGCATGAGCCAGAGCTTCTCACATTTACTTAACAGTCTTAAAGTCAGTAAGATATGGGAGCTATTTCCTCACTGCTGAAGCAGAAATTCAGCTCTTGAACAACTTGTTGAACAAATTAATTTCTTTCCTCAAAAAATTACTTGCACCTCATTTGCAGTTCAACCAAATTGCACTTGAAGCCCTAACCCTGAAAACAAAAGAATGGTTACCAGGTCTTACTTTTATTGGGTGTTTTGCTGCTCTGCCTCTTTATTAGAGCCAGAGATCACAAAACTGCAGAAAATCCTGACTTGCAAAGGACAACTTTACGGGAGTCTAATTACCAAATTAAATATTACCTCTTTCACTCCTTCCCCAACAATATTACATTTCAATCTCATCACAAGTCCCTCTAAATAAGCATTACTCAGCATCTATTGTATTTTTCTAGCTATTTGGGCTACCTGATTACACTGCAGAGAGAGTGCAATGGAAAAGTTATCGGCCATCCATGAAGCCAAGACCACATGAATTAGTTACTCCATTCCCCACAACTTACTGACATCTTTTAATACAAAATAATTCTTTATATGAATAGCGGTATCGAATTCTCTTCTTTTGTAAATCAAGTGTTCAGCGTTATTTTTAAAAGACGCATAAATACTGCATGTACCAAACCAGACAGCATTATGTGCTTGTCTGCTTTCTTGTATTTCCTGGCATAATGAAATACACAGCAACTTGGACTTCCTCTTTTGGCTGTTTTAATAGTATATGGTGGTATTTTTATCTCCTTGTTCTTGTTTGCTTCCTCCTTCTCTTTCATCCCATGAAGAAACAATAATTTACTTGGTCCATCTCTGGACAAACATAATAATTTCAAGCAGGAAAGCACTGTTCAGCAAAGGCAATGCTCACAACAACTTGTTCTTCTGGAGAAAAGAAACCACTGTAATAATAAATACACAGAAAAAGCCTAATTAAAACACAGAGCCAAGTTCAGCACCTTCTATACCAATTCTAGGTTTCCTGTAAATTCAGCAAGGCTGTTTTTTCATAGTGGATCTGAGTGACCAGTTACAACAAAACAAAACTGGTTCAATAGAGATGAGATGTAGTATCACTAAAAAAACAGACAGAAATCCAAACCGTGGGTCTGCTAAAACAGAAGTATTATCAGAAAATTTATTACAAACTTACAGAGAACAGAAGTGTGATTTTTAAATCCTCTACTACCACTGCACTTGAAAAACAAAAAGTAAAGATAGTAACATGTAAAATCTGCAGATTAGTCATATTTACTTTAGGTATCATTTGGACTTTTGAGAGTGCAATCTTAGCTTTACTGGAAGTTTTCAGTTGAATTCCAGGAATCTCTGTTTGCTTAAGTATTTTATGTGCCAAAACTAACTACCGTTCATAACCTATCTCCACATGCGGTGCAGAAGTAAATACTGTAGAGTATAATAATCCCTGAGATTAAATCAGATTTTTGCCATGCTGTGTAACATGTCATAGAAATGGACATAACCATTTATATAGCAATTTGCAAGTACTGTACATAAACTATCCTTTTTAATAATCAATTTATTATCTATTTTATACCAGTTTGTATTTTCATTTGTCAGTGTTGCCAAATATGTCTGACTTCTACGTTTTCTAGAGAAAACTACTATTTACAGGCACAATCTCTTGAAGTCTACAATAATGCACCACAGCTGAAGCCAAAAGTAGAAATGCTTAGTGTCTTCAGGATTAGGTAGCAAATAACAGCATTGTTTTCTTTGGACTTTAACTTTGAGCTTCAATTTGTGCAATTATTTTTGTGTATTAAGTAGTTAGCTACAGGGACTAGCTAAAGAGTATGTTGAAATCCATGGGGATTAATTTTATCAGGTTCAGTGAGATTCTGTGGTACAGGCTCAGCACTTACATATTATAGAAATTAACATCTATATAGCAAGTCTGCATATTAAGTGTTCCCCATAGTTTCTCACCCCAAAACTCTTCAGTTTCCACCTATCCTACCACAGAATGGTAGGATATGTGGAACAAATTACATACTGAATTATTATTTGATTGTTTTGTACTGCCAGTTGCTGTTTGTGTTTTTAAACTTTTCTGATGCCACTGTCACAGGTTTGGGTTGGTTTTTTTTCTCTTTGTAAGAAAAACTGGAATGAACCATCACTCAGCAAAATTGTGGATAGTCCATCAACTGTAATAAGTATCTATGGGTAAAATTCAAATACAGTGAAACACTGAAGAAGACAACCATGTTAACTTT